AGCTATCCCCTATGATGCCTCTGCACCTATTTAAATGTATAGATAGTACTTAGGTAATTTAGTTGACAAAAAGCGCGTCTAATAAGTAAAAGGATTGTATAAGTGACAGGTTTACATGTTATATGTATATTTTTTCGAGCCCATTATGTACAACATGTTAATAATTGATGTTAATGTAATTTCCTTGAGAGTTACCTACATAACTTAATACCATTCTCGAGCTCTCATAAAGCAATATTTTTTTTATAATTGTAATCAGATCGATATGAAGTAGGCAGGTAGGTAGGTAGTAAGTAGGCTTTGTAAAAGTCGTATTTGCAACAAATAACAATTCAAGATATTTTACATATATTTAAAACGTTCTCTTTAGTATATAGTCGATAGTATAATCTCTACTATAGATTATACTAGCGCTTACATACCCTCCTTATTATATTCGGCAAATAATATTAATAGTTTTTACCGTCGAAACGTAATCTATATTATATACTAGGTATGTTGATACAAACATCTACCTACACGTCTCCCCATAAAGAAGAAAAATGGCGACACCATTATACATTGTTACATTACCCACACGTAAAAACGTCTGTGTAAAAACATCTCGTTGTCAAAATAAGGTATTTTTAGTTATTTTCTATTTGCCTTTTGATACTGAGAAACATGATAATTTGAACAGCAACATAGGTAACAATGACGTATGTTTTTTTTCCAAAAATAACAACGTCACAACATCATATCAATTGACGGAGAAGTGTCCTTTTATATGAAAGTGTATGTAATAAGAAAATAAGTTTGTCCGTTAATATAAGGTACATTTACTTTAACATTTTTTGAATTCATTTTTGAAATTCTGATGGGAGTTATGAAGGAGGTATCCAAGATTATTTTCTTAAACAAATTCCTTCAAAAAATTCTTAAGTTAGAGATAAAAAAATCAGCATACCTAATTATATTAAATTTTGTTGGTTTTGAATGATGTACACTTTCTATGGCTAATATAGTTGGAGGGAAAGGCCTTTTTTCAGAAGTTGATATTTTTCAGAAGTTGATATTTTTCAATTGATGATCTAATTTATAAATCAAATAATGGTATTAGTGACGAAAATTTTCGAAGCCTCAGAGCGAATAATGTTTATAGAAAGTAGAAACTACGCAGACAAAATCGCTGGCAAAACTAGTTAATAAATTAAATACCTTTTAATGCTTTATTTCGGAGACTTATCTAAAAATAACATTTCTCCGTAAGAAATGGGCGTGGAATAACAATGGCCTCGCTTGTCAAACAAAGGATTTTTTACAAAAATATGTATTTTCGCTTACATTCTTTGCATAGTGCGTAGGAAAAATAACTTAAGTTAATTTAGGTATTGCCTAACTAGCTACCTACCACTTTTTTGCAGGACAATCGAGTCGAGCAATTTACACTTAGGTATAAATAAGTGAACTTTAAATTGGGATATAAAATTATTCGATTCTAGATAAACTAGGTTTTTTTTTGTGAGGGGAAAATTATCAAATGACTTCTCCCGCCCAGGGCCGGGCAGGAAGGAGTGTCAGACTCTTACTGACTAAAAACCCCCCTGTTCCTTCTCCTGCTCTGTGCCGAGGTCGCGGTACCTCATTGCGCTTAGGTACCCCACAACCCAGATAAACTAGGTGGAGTATTATTAAATTTGACTAGTTAGAAACTATTGGAATGTTTCAAGTTACATTTTATATTTTTAGCATTAACGTGACTTCCACCCCTTCTGAAAATAATGCTTTCTTTGCAATCTGGTTTAAAAGTTCTTATTCAAATAACCAGATGCACACTAACGCATAATGTGCAACCTGTGACCTCAAAAAAACTATAATATGTCTATGACACCAAGTTTTTAGCTTATGTTTAACTTAAAGATAGTGAATGATCACCAAAATGAAAGCAATTTAATGTTTAGTTATAAGCAAAGTTTTATTATATTTATATTCTATTTATGCAAAATAACTCAGAAAATCTCTAAATAAATCATAGTACCTTCATACCGTGTATATTCAAGCCTTACGGTGGCTGCCAAAGACTTATTATAGATGACCCGAAAATAATAATTAAACAACATTTTTTTGATGTGGTCTTATCGGTCACTGGTCTAACCTAACCATACTTATCCAAGTGGGTGTACCTCATAAGTTATTCTTGCAACTTGGGTTTTACACGATACTAATGCGCTTTTCAGTCACCGAGATTTATTTAGATATTTGCCACGTGATCGCTTTTAACCACTAAGTTCAATTGGAATCACTACATAGTATATAAAACAAAGTCAAGATTTGTACGTATAGTAACATCTTTTTTTTCTCAATCAAACGAGCAGAAGCATTACCTGATGGTAAGCAATGAGCGCCGCCTATGAACACCCGCAACACCAAAGGAGTTATGAGTGCGTTGCCGACCTTTTAAGGGATAATGGTTTCAGATATTTTAGGATTGGAAAGGGATGGAGGGAGGGAGAGGGATTGGGCCTCTGGTAACCTCACTCACACGGCGAAACACAACGCAGTGGTTGTTTCACGCCGGTTTTCTGTGAGGCCGTGGTATCACTTTGGTCGAGCCGGCATGAATGGGTCATTCATGCCGAAGCTTGGTTCTTCCACACTTCAATAATAATCTGTTAAATAGTTGAGAAATTTAGTATCAGCATTGAATCCGTGCGAAGCTGGGGCGGGTCGCTAGTATATTGATAAAGTGCTGAACATTAGTAATTTCATATTATATTAACCATTTTTTAATAATAATGTTGTATACTACATTTTATTCACTGAAATGGAAATTAAAGCCGATTTGTCCGCAAAATAGACAAAAGAATTTTAATTCAAGTTTAACTTATCTTATACGAATAGAAGCAGACAGTTGAAAAAGGCAAAAATTAACAAAAGCTTCCGTTATTTAATTTGAATGGACTCGGGAGTTAGAAAATACGGGTCTAGTGCGCATGTCACTGAATCTATCGACAATAGGTTTGGACATCATCGTGCCCAGCTGTGTATCGACAACACAATTTGTAAAACAATACGAGGAATAATTATTATTTCAAAAAACAAAATTATTAAACCAAATATCGAAAAAAAAATCAAACTAAATTCCTGGACCACCAACAATATTTTCATTCTATTAATGAAGTGATTTTTAGTTCAACTTAACACACATATTTTATAAGAAGTGAAATAAAAAGAATTATATGGTTATTGATATGGATATTATGATATGGATATGGATCTCATTGAGGTCTTTTACAAGACACGAAAATTTATTTTACCACAATATCTCTTAACGATTAATATGAATGTGGAAAGATCATCTGAAATAAGTCTAACTTCACCAACAAGAAAGAATACATGTGCAAATCGCGATAGAAATAATATTATTAAATATATTTTAGTTGTCGATAGTTTTTCCCACTGTTCTACGTGCTCAAAGCCCCTATTTTCGCGTCGAGCTCTCGGCATCGCTGGATAGAATCGTCAGACGGGTTTCATCCCGCGCTCCGAGCGGTAGCGCGAGATGAAATCTGTCGGTACAAACTACTCTAATTGAAATATAATACCTACAAAGGGGACTTGTTTTATTATTTTTTTAATTTTTTTTTTATTAAAGATTTGTTCAAAATTGCCTTTGAACGAAAAGAAATAATTAAACATAAATAAAACATGCCATTTTTTTTTGGTTTTGTGTCTGTTTGCTTTTATGTTTGTTACAGCTTTACGCAAAAACTACTGCACCAATTTCGATGAAATTCAGTACAGACGTGTAAAATGGCTGCTAAAATAACATGTTCCACAGTTTGATCCCAGAAAATGCTTTAAATTAGAAAACAACACATTATAACATACTTTTAGAAAATTGCCGGCGTTAAAGTTTTGCTTGGTCTTCACAGATGTTTCAATAAATCCTGCAGAAACTACATTTCATTAAATCAAGAGTCTTTAGTTGAATCAGCTCCCCTTTCATCTGTATCCTTGTTAGGCAAAGAAATTGGTCTTCTGATGCGACCACACTGGTCTTCTCATATAATTGACGCCTGGATAAGACAATTTCATCTACAATTCAGTAGAATTCTTATCTTGTTCGTGCCACAACATTTTTACAGATTATTTTGTTTTCATTTACAAACGAACTTACGTACCTTCACGTAGACGAATACGTACATATTTTTAGCCAAAAATATGAATTCAATTGATAATAAAATTCCTCAAGGACCATTATAAGGGGATGGAGGGAGTTCTCAAACCTTTGAATTGGCTAGCAACGGACATAATGTATAGAAACGTTTGTTCGTAGGAGGTTGATTCATTAATGAAGCCGGCTTTGTTAAGGTGGCCATGGCAAGAGCATTGTGTAGGCGTAGTTGCTAAGACTTACAAACACTTAATATATTTCATTGGTTTCCTTCACTGGTTCACTGGTTTCGTATTAATTACCTTTACGGTATTACAGTTTCCAAATAGCTTATATTTATTAAAAGGAAAGCAATTGCTATAGTGTATTACACTCTATCGGGAAGTGCATAATTACATAATGAACACGGTTGTCCATTCTCACGTCCTACTTGAGCATGCGCATGCTTTGAATGATTACGATCTAGGCTGAGACTTACTTGCAAACGATATATGCTTAACGGTATTTATTTATTGGGCCAACAGGACTAATTATGATCATATGCGAAGTTATATTGTGAACAGCTCTGCACTGCGAATGTTGTTTTTAATACGTTTTCTATTTTCAATTTGCAACGTCAAGCGGACTTAGTATTGCTGTGCCATTTTAGTACTGTGTACTTGATAAGTACTAATTGTTCGACTGAAATAAAAAAAAAACAGTTTCATCCTTGCGTCGGTCGTAATTAGTTAGTCTCAGTTCATCAGTTTTTTTTTTTCAAAATTGGATTCGTTTCCTTTTTTATGCGAGTGAATGCAATTCTGTAATGGCCCACTTTTAATTTTATATTTTCATCTTGTTCCAGGAGACAAATGGATGGTATCCTGCCTCGGCGTCTTGTACCTTACAAAGGGTCTTTTCTACAGAGTTGTACCGGCTGACCAAAGAGTTGACGAAGCCTATGCTGGTGTATTCAGGTCTGTACCAATTGACTTCGAGCAAAACATTTGCATCTTTTTTAATATTGCAATATCACCTAAAGTTTAGACCCGCCCTGGAATAGAGCGAGAGGGGTGTCATACTCTTACTGACTAAAATCTCCCCTTTTCTTCTACTGCTTCGGATCAGGACCGTAGTACACTTTTGCGCTTGCCCCCGCGACCTCTACTGGATATCCCCCAGTAATCTGTGGTGGTCTGAGGGATCTTTCCCATCGTATCGCCATTCGTATCCTCACTATGTGAAGTGGCTATCCAGAGCACTTGAAACCGGCCATAACAGTAACAAAAGGATGCTCTTTACAGGTTTCGACTCTGGTGGTGTGGACAATGGCTTGAGGTGCTTGTGGACGATCGTTTGCCAACAGTCAATGGAAAATTGGCATTCCTTCAAAGCAACCACACCGAGCAGATGTGGCCGGCGTTATTGGAAAAAGCATACGCCAAGTAAGTTTTGGTTTGACATCATGAAAATAATTAAAAACTTGATAAATGCTTTCAATCATAATGATTGGTTTTTCGATAAGGTGGTGATGAACCGGGAATGATCGAGGGGAATGATTGATTACATAATGGATTAACTGCACGAATTAAACAATGAGAGCTAAAATCATGTAGGGCCACTAGCCATTGTGTAGTACATCACACAAAATATTAGTCATGTTTGGTACCAACATTCAAATATTATTCTTTCTTGACGTAGGCTGTTCAGAATATTGTATTATTAAAAAGAAAATACTAAGATATTCCTTTATATTTCCAGACTGCATGGATCCTACGAAGCTTTGAAATACGGGAGTTTACTGGACGGGCTAGCGGACCTTACAGGGGGCATTACCGAGTCACTGCAGATGACCGAACTGGCTGATGCTGAGACCCTGAGGAACTTGCTAAAGAACACGAGCCTAGTTACCGCACACCATGTGGCCGCTGTAAGTGTTACCAAAGAAGTTAGTTGACGAAGTTAGTCCATCCAACAATCAATTACGTCCAATGTAACCACGACAAAGGTAATCAACCACTTCAATAGCGGGCGTATTGTGCAAATGCGAATGACATTGCAAAAGAACTTATTCGTGCACATATGGATGTGAAATATCTCCCTGGTGTTTCTTGCACTAATATTGTTTATACACAAGACAATAACATTAATTAAAATATGGATAATGTCATACTACTTAAATTTAACCTAGATTCATATTAATATGATTTGGAAATTTATTTCAGACACCTGAAGACAAAATTCCCGAACTTCAAACAGAAATGAATTATGTGGTGATGAACGTGGAACAGGTAAACGTATTATTGATTCAAGCTTTTTATACATAACTAGCAGACCCCGCCACACGTTGCTGTGGCTAAGGTTCTTGCCATATTACATATGGACAAATAATTTGCAATAAAATAATGTTGTTACTATTAATTGAGATGTTAGCTATCCTATCTTTCAAGTTGGATCAAAATGCACACGGAATGCAAAATTTAAAATCGGCTTAGTACCGTTTAGGAGTCCATCGCGGACAAACATGTGACACGAAATTTTTAAAGATGGAACAAAATTAGTATTGTTTTTAATGGTGAAGTGATTCTCAAAAGCACTTGTTGACGACTTTTTCACCGCTTTACAGGTGGAAAGCACTAAAGGTACGGTGCACGTCGTGCGAGTGCGTCGACCACTGGGTATTGGAGAAGTGCCTGTACCCTACATAGTACTTAATCCAGAATCGTAAGTTTTAATATCATTTTATGTTCATAACATGCGCTTGGTCATTTTAAATAATAATGTTAGGACGCTCCAGAACACCCACAATAGATGCTGTAGGTGGATAGGGATAGGATAAGAAATTATGTCGAAGGAACGCCTAAAGCCACTGCAATTATAGCTAAAATACACATTATTATGTTTGACTATCTGACCCGGTAAATTTCGTTCTGCCTAACGGTCAATTAATACTTCTTTTTCACATTTTATACCTTCCCTGGACTTCCACAAATATTTCAAGATCAATATAAGCAAATCGATACAGCCGTTCCCGAATTTTACTTTATTACTGTCAGCCATAAATTATACACCGCTGAACATGGGCTCTCCCGGTGACTTTCTGAAGAATACAAACTTACCTTTCCTTTTTCAACAGGTGGCACACAATACCGCAACAAGAACGGGACCGATTCATATCCACACCCAAAGGAATTTGGATGCTCTTCTCTGATTTCCAACGCGTATTCACTCGCGTCGAAATAGTACACTTAGACTCGGAAACCTGTAGAGCAGAACCGTTTTTAGCTGATAAACAAAAATGGCAAATGAAGATGCATCAAGCAGGATGGAAGAGAGGTGTTTCGGCTGGAGGATGTCGTAATTACGTGCGTGAGTATTTTTTCATAGACTTTTGTAATTGAGAAGATATGACTAAAAGGGTTTACAGGACACCATCTCAAAACTCTTGTGTATTAGATCATATGACTGACCTCATAATGTTTTCTTTACTTACAGATTTTTTCCACACGAATCCTCAAATACAAATAGTCTTAACTGAACCGGACACTGTCATTATTTCTTTGAACCAGCACTGCATTATGGAACCTAAAGTTATTGGATTTAGTATTTATAAAATACCTGCGCCCCTTAACGAAACTGCGAAGGCTTTATTCTTTAGAAAAGTTAAAAGTACTATCAATTCACAATATACGAATAGTCGGCAAGTTACACATAGGTAAGCGCCATTGGATTTGTAAGAAAACTCCATTACACTATTTTATTACTTTAATACAAAGGCCATGGACTAGGTATTACAAATAATAAAAATCTTATATCTTCCAGATCACCACTAGAACCAAGTGCCTTCATTATAATGCCTACAACATTCGAGCCACGCGACGAAGCTAATTTTACGTTAAGAATATACTCGAACAAACCAATCAAGATGAAAGTTTTGGACAATCCGCCTAAAATGACAAAAACTGCATTAGTGAAGGCACCACCAGTGGTGGAAGTGAACAGCTTTGCGCAGTACGAAGCGGTGTTCCTTCAACTTGCCGATGAACACAAGTCTATAGATCCATTTGAATTACAAGAATTACTGGATGCCTGCCTTCCAAATGACTACATCAAGAGCTGTGCCTCCATAGACACGTGTAGACAAATTGTTTTGTCTTTAGACGTATCCTTTTTAAACTGCATTTAAACCTTAAATCAAGACCTACGAAAATGTAAATTTTCGTTGGTCTTTCCTTCACTAATTTATACTCTACGACGGCATGTTTTGTATTAGACTTCAAATTTACTATAGATAATTTCTCCTAACTATCATCACAGAAGAAGGGTACGGGTCGCATTTCGCTATCAGACTTCAAGGACCTTATGTGCAGTTTGAAGCATTGGCAATTTGTCTTCCGAACGCATGCTAGAGAGAAAATGGGCGTCCTCAGAGCGGAAAGATTTCGGGATGCCCTAAGAGATGTCGGTTTTATAGTACCCGAGAAAGTATTGACGCTTTTAGTTTTAAGATATATGAGGAAAGATGGCATGCTTAGATTTGGCGATTTCGTTTCTGCTGTTATGCATCTACATCGCGCGTTCGGTAAGAACACCTTATAACTAAGACTAATAATATTTCTAGCCGGCATGAATATATACAATTTTGTTCGTCTCAGTTACTTTGTTATCTAATTACATGAAGATGCCATTAAAAATTTTACTTTCACTTTCAGAAATTTACCACAAAAGCAACACCCTTCGAACGGAAGGCATCCAAACGAATCTAACCGAGGTATGCATATATAAATGTTTATCCAAAATGCGAAATAAATTAGATCAAGGAATCACATTGTTCTATCACACCTGGTCCTCTGTTTTGACCACCTTAGAGATTGCTATACCTACTTTTCAGGGGTGATTAGTGATCGATACTGATGCTGAAATTTTTTGTCTGTCTGTCTGTTTGTCTGTCTGTCTGTTTGTCTATCTGTCTGTTTGCCTATCTGTTTGTCTGTCTGTCTGTTTGTCTGTGTCTGTATGTTCCTTATGGAAACTAATTAACGGATTATAACGAAACTTGGTACAATTATTCTTAATATTCCTGGGCAGGTTAGTACACATTTATAAAGACATTTAAACAATTCAGATTTTTACGATCAGCGGTTAGGCCTCTACTGCACCGGATTCTAACTTCAAGTTCACGCCGTTATACATAATATAATATATTATTACGATTAACGTATATTCCTTTTCGAAAGGCATTTACTACTGTTAATATTTTTGTTCACAGTGGCTGAAGAATGTATTTATGTGCTAGTAAGCAAAGACTGGCACTGTATGTGACTGCAATTGAACTTAGAAGAGGGCGGACATGGACGGGACTATTTTGGAGCTCATTGTTCTGCTAAAAGCGGACCAGTCTTCGAGACGAAAATAAAAACTGATTGGATTCATAAAAATCATTATGTTTTGGTGTAGTTAGATCAGTTTGGTGGCCATCCGCCCCACTTACCTCGTAGTTTTTATGAGCTCTATGGCAAACGGCCGTCTCTTGAAAGCAACCACTTTTATACATTTAGATTTAGTTAAAATACGACTTCATAGGTACCTATGTGAAAATATAACCAGCTCACTTCACGGTTGTGATAAGATTTTTTATAAAATTATTGTATAAAGAATTAAGTTAGTCATTTACGTGTCGTGGGGGTTATAAATAATGGGTGTTTTTTTATCAACATTTTAAAACGTGCAATGTATAATATGATTTTTTGTTTTTTTTCGCGACTATAGAATAGATACAGTAAGTAGGTAAAGAAGTTTGACATACTAGGCAAGTATACTCTATTTTTAAAAGTAAAAGCCGATATTAGTACGTTTATAACTAGCTCTTAATTTACCCCAATACTCTAGTTACTTGTGTAACAATATATTGGTCATAATAATGAGTTTTCTCAACACTATAAATACTCAGTGCATTTGTTATGTTAGTTAGTTTCTTATAGATATTTGTTATTTGACTAAGAATGCCTAATTATAATTAGAATTAATTATATTGATTGATATCTACAAGTGACAGCTATTTTATCTGCTCTCTCACCCCTAATTTTCTACAGAACTAGCTAGAACTATAAATTATAGACAGGACAGAATTATAAATAAAACAAATAAGAGGTACCTACTTACCTATAATTGGATGATCAAAATCAATTAAATTAATTTGATTTTTTCAAAATCATTTAAATTTTAATGTTAGCATTGTTTTGTTGTTGTGTCTGTTTACTTTCTTATTATATATCTAAGTACCTATATTAACTTAGCTCTCAACAACCTTACCTACCTATTGCCTACCTACTTGTAAACTTATCTTATAAATTATTCTTAAAAAATTTCAAATTTAGACCTACTATAGATTAACAGCAGCTGGATTTCTAGTTCATATACAAATTAAATATTTTTTTTTAATAATAATTCAATGAATTTTGTTCGTATGACGTCATAATAAAATTGCATGCGTCTAATGCTACAGGTATCTACTCACTTCTCTAAAACTTATTGTAAAATTACTAATCTTAAAATTGAATTAATCAATGACTTTATGGTTATTTTAGATAAATATATTTTATGGCTGAGTCATAATGCCTGTTGTCAGTAAATCATTTAAGGATACTAAAACCTAGGGTACCCCTTTACACATAATAATATGTCATACTTATATACCTATATTTACTAAGTGTCAAAGTATGCATATGAAAAAAAAACTCCAACGATCTCGCTTGACTCAAAATAATAATGTAATTATTATATTTTTTTTTACTTTAAAATACATACATAAGTAATTTGTAAATAATAGGATCGTAAATCCACCGAGTCGGTACGTACTTACCTAGGTAAAAATTTAGCGTACTTTTCAAAAAATATAAATTGACATGTCCTAAGTCGCACTAGGTATTTGTTTTTGTATAATTTGGAATTAAAATTTTATTCAATTATTTTGGTTATCAAATAAAAATCTTGGTTTAAAACCTTTCCCTTTTTTTATTTCACCTAAAATACTTACTATATCATATTATAATGTCCTATTCCGGAGTGTATCCTATGCCAAATTTTATCCAGACCCGTATAGCCGTTTTGGCGTTATTGAGTAACAAACATCCAAACATAGTTACTTTCGCATTTAAAATATTAGTAAGAAACTCCGAAATAAAATTGTTTGTTATAAATTTATAATAACACACCTAATGTAAGTAAATCCTTCATTACCTAAACCTACTTTTAAACTTGTACTAAGCATACATAAATTTCATCATAGGGAAGCAAGTCTTCGGTAGTATAGTGGTCAGTATCCCCGCCTGTCACGCGGGAGACCGGGGTTCGATTCCCCGCCGGAGAGATTCTTTTTGTACTTCTTTTCAACCTCTATCAAATCAGAACTACCATATATAAACCAATTCATTTTATTCACTTTTATTTGTTTCCATTTTTCATTTATTTTAATATATTACTCAAAATAACAGTCAATGCTTTTCTCACATAATTATTTATCTCAATTCAACAACTACTATCTATAAAATACTTAGCAATATACTAAAAAAACTAAATAATAATTTAAATACACAATAATCATATTTACATTACAATCCACAATCAACAAGCAAATCACAATAAATAACAAAAACTGTACATAACTTGTCTCATGATTTACACTTCAACTTGGATTGAACAAAATATGTTATCACATAGCACAGTCCAGATTTACTTCATATTACTTCCCACATAATGGTAACATATAGGCAAGAACTAGAATTAATTTCAGAAATTTGATTTAAATTAGAATTAGGCCTTCTACCCGGCAAATACATGTAACATTTATATCAACATCTGTAGAATCCCACACATGAATTATAGATTAACTTAAATATGGATTGTACACTGAGAAAGAGAGGATCTATTGAAAGCAATTACACGCATTATGTGTATGTGAATTTATAATGCATACATAAATCTGTGGGAGAACAGCTGCCAAGTCAATGCTTCAACCATATCACAATGTTGGTCTACAGAGAATACTGTTATGTTATCTTTATATATAAAAGTTTCGTGTCACATGTTTGCTTGTGATGGACTCCTAAGCTACTAAATAGATTTTAAATTTGATCCAACTTGAAAGATGGCTTACATCTCAATAAATTTATAGTTACAATATTTTTTTATTGCAAATTATTTGTCCATATGTAATATAACAAGAACCTTAGCCACAGCAACGGTTGCTGGGTCTGCCAGTGTCATATAATTGACAGAACACTGAAATGTGTTCACTTTAATTTCAGTGTCCTATTATTATCTGTTTAAAATTATATTCACTTCATGATAAAAAACAAAGTCACTTTCTCTGTCATATATCTGTAAAAATTTAAGCTGCTTAAAATCTTTCACAAGACAGTTTTTTTAAATATCTTATAGAATGACTGAAGAGAATGATTTATATGTATGCGCAAAATAGTGGAGAAATAACATGTCAGCATTACAACCGTGTGAAGCCGAGACAGGTCAGTAGTTATTAATTATCAGGAGACAGCTAAAATGGTGGGCAAAATTAACATGAACTATGTTAATTCATATATCTCCATGAAATTCTATAATTCATGTTTTGCTCAATCCAAACACAACTTTATAATTATCTACATAAAATAGGTAATACAACAATCATTTCTTATCTGGTATACTTTGTTCTTCTGTGCTAGGTTCTGTGGCAGCTTTGTGTAGCTCATACAACTGGACAAGCTGTTCATCAGTCATATGATCCAACAGTTGTGGGTCTAAGTATTCCCCGACTTTCTTTTTCTTAGCTTGTTGTATGGGCTTCATCTGTTTAGCCAATGTTATCGCATAATCCTGAAATTATTTGTAAAAGAATAATTAGAATTAGAAATGTCACATTTTGAAAGTTATGTGATTTTTTATAGTAGTGCCATGCATAAAAATCTAAACATATTCTTTGAGTGGGAATCACTTTGTCACACTGTTCAAAACTCAGATTCATACAACAAGATGGTTGCAATATGAGTTTTCTTTTGATTATATGTAGGCAAACTATGAAGTGAGAAAGATCACCTACCGTCCATTCATTAAGGAATATTTTAGCTTCCTCAGGATTGCATTTCTTGTGCCTCTTGAATTCATCTCTAGCATAGTTGTCACCCATGATTCTGAGTTCCGGAGGCAAAGCTCGGTGTACTCGAAATATCAGCTTATATAATCGACGAACTCGGGAGACATGTTCTACAGACGACATCCTGTAATTATTAAGGATTTTACCATATTATGTAAGAATAAGTTAAAGTTGTATTTATTATAGTTTCCAACTAGATTTTAAGCTTGAAACTTTTAATTTTATTTTATTGTATTAAGTAAATTAATTAAGGAGTTATAAACGAGAGTCTAATAAACAATTAAGTCAATATTTTCAGTGTAAATGAAGATATTTGTAACCAAAACATTGCTACATAACCTATAAAATAATTGATACTTACTTAGGTAGAAACAATGGTAGATACGTTATCGACTAAATTTCAAAATGTATTAATTATTGTGTATTTGTTATTGCTTACATAAATCTACCTGTTTATTTTCAAAAGTAATGTTAAAATTTCATTAACTTTCATAAACCACAGATACGATGAAGCTAAATGAATGATGGTTAGTCTATGGTACATACAGACTATATAGGTAACTTCAATCACAGAGTTTGGAAAACTGAAGATGAATATTGAATATTAAGCCACGGAATAGAAAATACCTGTGGAATAAACCACAAAATTAAAACACTGAAAACATCAATTAAAATTCTGATTTTGGAGCTTAGAGTCCTACTATAAGTTTTATTGTTTCGGGGATAATGTACGGATTTTACGTTTATCAACTTTTATATAGTCGGTTCCACGGGTGGAACCGACTCCCACCTCAAAGAGTATAATATACTAGCGGCCCGCCCCTGCTTCGCAGGGGTCCAACTATCTCGCTATCAAAGGGTCATTTTTTCCTAATCTTCCCCTCTACTTTTCTAATATTTTCTTTGATAAGAAAAAAGCAAAATTTATCCAGGCGTTGTTGAGTTATGCGCTTACCAACACATTTTGCGATCCATTTTTATATATAAGATAATAACTAATAGGATAGGGATTTTTTAACCGGGGGGGGGGGGGGGGGGGGGGGGGGGGGGGGGGGGGGCAAACATCAAATGACTCCTCCCGTCCAGGGTGAGCCGAGAGGGAGTGTCACCCTCTTATTGACTTAAAACCCCCCGTGCCGTACCTTCTCCTACTTTAAGCCTAGACCGCGGTGCCTATTTGCACTTACACTGCAACCCCGCACCATCGCTACGCGCCGAACACACTGGTCGGGAGGCCAGCTACCACCGTCCGCAGACTTAATCCCCAACGCCCGGAGTGTCGACAACTGCGGCGGCTGGGGCGTGAGAAGGAGGATAGCTCCCTCTCGCGCTCCGACTCCTTTTTAGCGAACTTAACTGATTCGCAGTTAGAGGTGACGGCATCCCAGTGTCTCTCGATCCGTACCATGGCCTCGACTAAGGCCGTGTGCGAAGATCAGATCGCTGTCGCCGATCACTTCCCTGACGACACGGCAGTGCTCAGCACAAGTAGGTTCCATTACCACCATATGCTGCTTCGTATCCTCTGAGTAGTCGTACAATGACGACACTCGGGCGCTTTCTCCCGCCGGATCCGAAACGGGAACCTACCGAAACTGTCGTGCATCTTTTAAGCCACACCTCAAAGAGGGGTCTCACCGCTCCTATAATAGCGGGCCGCAGCCGAAATAGGATAAGGCATGGTATAATCTTTGCCTTACTTGTATTTTTAGACCATGATATGACCAAGCTGCTCAGCTGAGCTGGGGCTGGGGAAACTGGCAAAATTTAATCGTAGAGTTGTTTTCATTATTTGTCACAATATTTTTTAAGACCGTGCCTTTCAAGCCTAACGTTCTTTCAAGAGCATTTAAACAATAACGTTACGTAAAAATCACACACTAGGAATTTCTGAGAATTCCTGGCACAGAGATCTTCCGTATATATCTGGCGAAACATTTTCTAATACTCCTTTAAATGGTATCCTGCTGGAATCTGAATGATTTGGTCTGCACAGTACCTTCTTTCTCAGCTGTTAACCGACTTGTAATAATAGCTTTATTTTCAGTCTGTTTAATTGCCGTATAGGGTGACAACTGGCAGTTAAATCTATACTAATCTATTTGAGGTAAAATTTGTAAGTTTCTATGTATGGGCTAATGTTTGGAACCGCTGCATCGGGTGAAACCGCGTGAGAGTCGCCCATAAACACCCACAACGTTTTTGCCTCATGCACGTGGTCAGCAGTTTCAGAGGGTTATAAAATAGGGAATAAGGGATGGGGGTGTAGAATTGTGCCTCAATAGCCTCACTCAACTCACAGGAATGGACATGGTCATAGCTGAACCAGCCATTCATGCCAAAGCATGGTTCTCCCAAAACACTCTTAATTTATTAGTAAGTATTTTATTTACTGAACTGTACAAAGTCAACAACATCTCGTCATAGATAGAAGAAATGATATAACAAACTGTATGTAGCTAAATAATTTAAGTCCAACAACGAAATCATTTTAAAACGATTTCATCGAACAACAGTGAGAATAACCAATCTTGTTATGTAAATTGTCACCTTAATTTAAACCCCAGATTCTATAAAAGTACATATTCTAAGAATTTCAACTATTTTATTAGCCCAGCAAGTCCATTTAGCTGTGGAAGTAAGTGTAGAGTAACCAAACTCATAATTTAATGACTATTTACAAAAATGGAACCAAGACAAACAAGGTCTATCACCAGGTGGCATTAGGGGCGGGGGGTAATTGACTACTGCATTTTATAACTATACGATAGACACTTATTACATGATGAATAACAAGGAAAACATGAGAACAAAACCACTTATCAGTGATTTCTGGCCACCTAGAACCTAAACAGGAAGATTCAATACATAGGTTTGTATTACGATAAAAAAAAATCGGAATATGACTTTAATTAATGGCTAAATAATTAACCAGTTTACAAAGACCACACATATTGGTTTTAAAAAGATTAAGTACCTACCAATATTACATTTTCTTTTTCGTTGCATCTATCTAGACACTAAAATACGAACATTGAACACCTTTAAGACATTTTGTGTTGAATAATTTTATTCTAATGGTAATGATAGTGTTCAGGTAAGTATTTATACGAATACATCTTTATCACTATTATTGTTTTTATTTTTGAGTCTTTGTTTCGTAGTATGTTTACCACTAGAATAGTCTTCCTTTTGAATTTTTACTACAGTTATGGAATTTTTAAAACACATGGCATACTTCACAACTTATTGAAATCTGTATCCGTTTCAGACAGCTATCTAATAAGTATGTAAACTTAGCTAAAAAACCTTGTCAAACACGAAAAAAGGGTAAGGAGAATAAAGACAAAAAAAAACTATTGCAAAAAATACGAATCTTACAACATTAACTAAATTAAATATGATAATGAAGTTTATGAATCCTCAAATACTTAATACATAAACAGGATTACATCCTTACAACACTAATTTCAGTATCAAGTCGTACCCTACGAATAAGACAAGGTTTTTTAACATGTTCTATAGTTACTGGACATCTTATTTAGATTTTTTCTTGTATGAAAGGGTGAGCCAGGCAATGGTTGACGGAAGCTCGTTTGGCTGGGTCCAACATGAGCATACGTTCTAAAAGATCTTTAAGCTGTGTGATCTTTTTAGCTTCTGGTGCAGGAAGTCTGTGATGTGGCGGGGCGAGCTCAGTTTGCAAATCCCTCGTTGGTTTTATACTTGATATTATTACGATCTTTTCCTGTTAATAAAAGAATAATTTGCATTAAATTTACTAATAATTACTTTCACGAGATAATAACTTATTTTTTTTTATTTATTTATTTTTAAGAGTAAGTAAATCTTGTAGTTTATGTTATTAATTTAGAATGTTTATTACATGAGAGCTATAAAAATTATGACAGAATATTCGTTGTTCAAATAATTTGTAGGAATGACCAGCATACGAAGCTTTAACACATTCAGTGCCCCCGACGCGTATGTGCGTTTCCTCGCACGCACATACGCGTCGGAGGCACTGAATGTGTTAAAGAATGTTGAAGCATGATAATAATATCAAATCACTCATAAGGTAAACTAAATGTAAATAAGATCAATTTCAAAAAACAGTTATAACTTACCCTCTCTGTAATCTTATCTAATTCGTGATATAAAAAGTTGCAATTAGCATCAAAATGTTGTTCTTTAAAGTATCCTTTCTTAATGATCTTGTTTGGTATTTTCCCCTTCAGATCCATAAAATATTTTAACATTTCATTATTTGATTTGCCGCTGAACATTATTTTTCCTGTAGAAAGTTCATACACTGTGCATGCTGTTGACCACATATCGATTCCATGGTCATATGAGACACCAAGAATGATTTCCGGTGATCTGTAGAATCGTGATACCAAGTAAGGAGTAATTTCATTGTCGGACACGTGCCCGGCCGCTCCAAAGTCACATAGCTTCAACATTAGTTTATTTTCATTAACAAGAATATTATCAGGTTTGATATCTGGAATTGAATACAGAATAATAATTAGAGTCAGAATATATTTTAAACGATAAAAAATCATATTTTGATTTTGATTACGATTAGAATAATTAATTTTTTGCTGACCTGCATGCAAAATTCCTGTTTTCTTTAATAATTTTAGAGCTAAAAGCATCTGTTGTGTGTAACTGCGTACTGCTTTGATATGTATACCGCTATTCTTGCCGTACTTTTTCAGAACCTCTCTAAGGTTCATGGAGAGAGGCTCCATTACCATACACAAATGTCTTTTGTGGAAAAAGTGACGGAATAAGCGGAGGCAGTGGAATTTGTCTTCGGGGTCGGCATCGTTGAGACGTTTGAGGATCTCCAACTCTCGAAGGCCTGTCTTGTGCCTGTGAAAATGGGAAACAGAAAAATTGGTTTAAAGTGCTTTAGAATTCCCATCCCACGTAGCTCGACCTCCTTATGCGGGTAAAGCCGTAGTAAACCGCAGTCTTACTCGGTGTAGGAGTAATAGGCTAGTTTTTTAGTCAATAATGTCATTATATATTTTCAGACAAAGTGCTACTACTGACAAAGTCGCAATAAAAAATTAATAAGTTTGACTCGAAAAACAAAAACGAGACTGCTCGTCAGTCGCACATACCACCACATGATCAACTTATTAGTATATTTATGTAATAAAATGAATTCGAGATTTGGTGTCCAGAAAAATTTGGTTCGACAGAGCCATTATATTCCGACAGTATAGATCATTCCAAAGCAAAAATTCCTATGAACATAGAAGCACGAGATACTTACATAATCTCATTATTCCTGATAATTTTAACGGCCACATCAGTGTTGTTGCGTGCCTGGTCTCTGGCGCGCACTACGTTTGAGAACACGCCTTGTCCAGTGTATCCGTACACGGTGTAACGATTATCCAGCATCTCACCGATACGTACTCTGAGGAAATACAGAACGTATTGAGTCGTGAGCATACAATTAAATAGGTAACACATATAAGTATTATATACAAGTGAGAAAAATCCTGATAGAGGAGGAACATTTGATTAATCAATTCATCATACCCCAAGCGAACGCCGTCGTACGCACACTTATTATTAATCTATTGTGTCTCGAATTACCACGACTGAATGGTTAAGCAGAATTGGTAGTAATTTTTCCAGTGATTATAGACCAACGACTAGACATATGTGATACATAATATATAAAATAATTGTATGTAAATAGGCATTGCAAAAAATCACACGCAGGCTTCGAAAAAAGTCAATACCAATCATCATCATCATCATCAGCCTATAAGTACTTACTGCTGAGCAAAGGCCTCTTCTCATACGGAGAAGGTTAGAGCATTAATCACCACGCTTGCTCAATGCGGGTTGTCGATTTCAAACTTATAATTAGAAATTTATAAGTCAAGGTTTCCTCACGATGTTTTCCTTCACCATTTGTCAATGATGTCTAAATAATCATAGAAAGTACCATATAACTCGGAAAAAGCCACATGGGTACTTGCCAGGTTTCGAACCCACACCCTCATGCATGGGAAGCGGGCTCCTTAACCTCCGGGCCACCACGACATTTAAAGGAAAAATACATTAGCCCGGTGTAACTAATGCCGTGTGTAACGTACTAAGCAATCGATCGATGGTCACTGTGCCATTAATAAATGAACATTTCAAATTAGAAACTTACCTGTAATAGCCTTCAGCGTCGTCCCAATTGTCCGTCAACGATGGATTTTCTGCTGTGTTTTTGTTTTTCGGTTTACCTGCAGTTGGTGTCTGTGAACAAGAACATTAAACTTCAACAAAAGAAAATTAAAATTTTGCATAGATATTGATATCAGCTGAAGAACATTAGGTATCCCCCTAGCCATTGACTTAATTAAAATATCATCAGACAAACTTTCACGTCTGTGATAAAGTAATAGGTATACTTAACTAGCTAAAAGCCTTCCTCGATAAATAGACTAACGAACATAAAAATAATTATTCAACTCTTCTCTACCCGTAACACTGTACTTCCAGAGATTAGCGCGTTCAAAAAAACAAACAAACTCTTCAGTTTCATAATATTATGTTTTCAGTCTGACCGAGTAAAATTATTTAAGGACTTAAACTTAAATATGTATAATGTAGGTGTATATCACAATCTTTTATCTACACCTAATTCGGAGGCTGCCGCCAAAGTATGTTCGCTAGATTACGTTTTAGTTAGATTGTATTAGTATAAGGTATGATGGGACTGGCATACACGTCCTTGTAAAAGTCCCTAATAATAAATAAAGAGTAAAAAATAATAATAATAATATTATGTTTTGTATAGACTAGTTTCTGCCAGCTGCTTGTTCAGCAGTAACAAACCAAAAAGACTAGCCAATGTGTTCTTGTATCATTCATGTTTATAATATCTATATCAGTACCAAATTTCTTTCATATCAGCTCAGTAGTTCTACGTGAAGGAGTATTAAACTTCCATCAGTAGTTACAAATAATCGCGTTATTAATATTAGAAGTATATAAAAAAATAATTGTTAAGCCGACATTTGTGCATTAATGAAACTTACTAATGAAGTGAATATAAGGATTAATCATGTCCCTAATAGCATTCATTAATCTTTAAAGTAAAACTCGCGCGCTTTGTTTACCACCGGCTAAGAACACCCAATGAAATCATTAACAAAGTAAGACTGACAGACGAGGCATATAAAAAAGTTTCTAGAAACTACTAAACTTTTTATTGTGAAACTCCCGCAATTAACAAAGAAAAATGTAACATTTACTTTACTCACATCAACACTATCAAAGTTATCCTGGTCAGCAAACATGTCCCATTCTCCACTCTTCATGGACTTATCCAACTTGGAATCGGATTTGGTTTCATGTGTATTTCGTATAAAGTCACTGTTGACCTTTTCTGATTTACTTTCTTTGACCGTTTTCTTGTCTTTGGTTTCATTTTCTTTCAAAACTCGGACCTCTGCTGTTTCCGTTACAACTCTTCCGCTATTTTTCGTATCTTTCGGTGATAAAGATTTTCTTGTTGCTTCTTCAGGTTTACTCGTAGCGGTGTCGCTACCAAGCCGCTGTTGAAATAAAAAACAGAAGCAATTAATCAGAATTGGTATGTAAAATTTCTTGAAAACAAAATTAAAATTTGAATAGGCCTCGGTAAAAAATTTATGAATAATCCGTACTGTAACCTTACATGACAACAATTACGTAATGGCTAGTTGCAAATTGAAAAAAGAAATATTTTGGAGGTGTGAATTTGTGAAATCTTTATTAGGTACTTGTAAAATTATGTATATTGGTAGATTGACTCATAGCTTACCTTCATAAGCTGTTCTCTTTGTTTCCGCCTCCTTTCGATAATTTGCTCCTCAGTTTCCTCATCATCATCTGTGTTAATTGATATGTTGAGTTCTTCATCGCTTGAACTTGGGACAATCTGTGTTACTTCGTCGACGATGCCCTGAAAATATCAAAGGTAACTCATGAGATACAGCTGGTAGCAACTTGTATTGTATGGTAAAACAGAAGAGTGTTTCAACAGAATATTTCGTATGTAGGAGTCTGATCATCATATTATGATTATGATGAATATATTATTTGGCACAATAAGGTGGCCGAGTGGCGAAGTGTCTTTTAAAAAGTAAAGAATTAAGAAAAGACCATGTACTGCCATTACTCCGAAGCCAATTAGTACAGTCAAGAAACTAGGGATTTTAAAATAATAATAAAATCTGATCGCTTATTTGACCTGTGATCCTTTTTTTACCTTGGAGCCCCGTACATCCGACCGCGAGTATTTGTCTCGCCTATCGAGATTACGTTCCCGAGATCGTCGCTCACGGTCACCAGTCCGCTGATCTCTTCGCGTAGCTTGCGGCGATCTATCTCGCGACCGTCGTGTTATTCTTAAAAGTTCCCGTTCTCCCCTTCGCCGAGCTTCTATTGACCGGCGCTCCTTTTCCCGTTCGCGTTCTCGCTCCCGTTCCCTAATTTCTCTTTCTCTTTCACGTTCTCTTCTTCGTTCTCGTTCTTTCTCTTCTAACTTTCGACGTTCCTTTTCTTTTCTCTCTCTACCCTCTCTTTCTTCCAATCGACGTTCCATTTCTTTTCTACTTTCTCTGTTGATAATTTCTCGTAAATCCTCTTCTTGTCTTTTAGGCTTATGTTTTTCTCTTTCTGATGAGTGATCTTTACTAGATTTATGTTTACTGCTTCTTTTGTGCTCGTGATCTTTTTCTTTTTTCGATTTCTTAACGATAGGTGATCTTGTATCGTCATTTATACATATGACTTCACTAAATTTGTCTTCTTTTGTAGGTTCTTCATCACTCTTTTCGGAATAATAAGCAATGAGGCGGGCTTGAAGTAATTCTTTTTGCTTCATTAAGTCCTCGAGGTTCAAATCGTCTTCTATTAGCATCAGCTCAGGACTTTCGCAGTCTTCTTGGTAGTTTTCAGTCTCAGAGTTAGAAGATAATATTTCTAAAGTCTCTTGTTTTTCCACCTTACGTACGTATGATTTGCCATGGAATAAACCTTTGCCTGAAGCGTCTCCATTTTTTGTTTTTGTCGTTACAATGAGATTGGGTCTCTTGAGTTGATGTCGTCCCTTTTTTATTAGCTCCTCAACGTCTGACAACGACGTCTCACTCTCTTCTTTTGGGCTTCTATGTTTTTCTTTCTTAGATTTCTTTTTCTTTTTATGCGTCTTTTCTCCAGACTCTTCTGAAGTACGTTTGTGTTTCTTGTGCTTCTTACTTTTCTTCTTCTTTTTGGTTTCGTCGTCCACACTGTCGCCATTTGCAGATTTCTCTGTGTCCGCTTTCTTTCTGTAAACAAATAAGCTTGTATGTACACTATATACTTACTCTAACATATTCTTGCGTTGATTCCAATTCTTTTCCATTCACAAGACATTGGACAAGTCTGCAACGTCAGATTATATCATCAGCAATGGCTCAAAAAGAACTCACGGGGTACTGAGACACAATTATCACACATAATTTAGTTAAATAATAATATTGGTATTTCATATAAGCATTGATTTGCTATTTGTTTAGTACGATTGAAATGTGTATAAAACCTTGATTGGCCGACCAAAACGTCTAGGTAGCGACCAAATCGTCTAGGTAGGGCAAAACGTTAACTATCAGAGCTAGTGTATGTTTGTTATTCGTAGTAATTATAGATTTTTTTTAGTAAAGCACGTGTGATTGATATTTAATTTTTAATTAAGTAGTCCAATTACATCAAAATTGATAAATGTAAAGATACCCTTCGGTCACTGATTACGAATTCGTGGTAGAATAGAATCGAATAATATTTCTGTTTTATTTATTTTAAAATCGAATGGCATATAAGTATTACAATTCAATGAATCAGTCTTTTGCTGAATAAAAACCCGCCATTCTTTCTCTTGGTCCTGACCCCGTTCGACCCCAGTAGTCTATTGGCTCTTTGAGGTGCGCACGGACCGCTGCACAATTGTTAAATTTTTACGATAAATAAATAATATAATTGTGATTCTTCATATATATTTATCTTTTACCGTAATTTGTGTTAAACTCTATGTCAGTGTATCAGTTCTTTAATAAGAAATAATAATTAAACTTAACCAGTGATACCTTGCACCACCTCTTTTGGAGGTTTTATTTAATTTGATAACAATATCTATTTTACAATCTGAACCGCCCATATTTGATTATAAAATCAGAGTTACGAAAATCTAGACCAGGATTATATTTTTTTTTGTAAATTTATTTTTATACAAAAGCAAGAGAGTTATTTACATTTTGCCACAATATACCACAAAATGACAAATGTCAAATGTTACTACAAAGTCAAATGTCAAGACTAAAGCTGCAGACTCCAAGAAAAAGTTTTTAATAAATTTCAACATATCTTTCAAGGACCACATTTTACTGAACAAAACTACAGAATGAATCGATTGAGAATCTAGTACTAAACACGAAAAAAACCTGACTGAATATTGTAATTAAAAAATATATAAATAATAAAGTTGTACTTACTCTTTTCCCATCCTTAGTATGTACCGGAAATTCTCCCGAGAAATCTGTAACATGCAGAAAAGATAATTTAATACTTAGTATACACAATTAATTTATGACCAGGAAATATATTTAACTTTACTCTTAAGTAGCCGAATCAACCGACATAAAGTAATATTTGCGACTGTTTGTCAAGTCTTTTGGTGACTTATAAATACATTTTCCCTACCCTTTGAGTCTTTCGGGGAAAGATTGCGAAATTTTCCATAAAAGTTGCTTAACTCAAAGCCATATTTTGTGGGACCCTCCAAAACATAAGCTTATTTCTACAATAAAAAATAAACATGGTTGCCACCCAGTAACCCCAATTTATTATAAGCAGTCTATTTTTATATGACATCAGATGCAATTTTAATTTTACAATGTTTTTGATTAGTAAGGTTCATATTTTTAGGTGAAGAGTATAACATTCGCTTTAAAAAATTTAGTATCAAACACCAGCAACAATAAATGTTCAAGTCAGATCAGATTATAGCTGTTATACTCTTAAGCCATATAAAAAATATATAACAGATAGAGGAGAAATATCTTTGTACAGGACATCAAATTTTATGACAAAAGCAAAATTAAAACATAGCTCAGGCAAGACAATAGCTAAGCAAAAGGATTACACAATTTATTTTATTATAATTTATTCACAGGGATGGATATGTCAATTGACTTTTTTATTTTTTTAATTAACCATATTTTATTTTTCTCTAAAAAACGTTGCCCCGCTCTAGGATTTTCTTCTGTGTCATTGGTGCGGTTAAAAACATAAAATTTTACATGCACATCACACCCAGACCCGGAACAACAATTTGTGGGTCACACAAAGAGTTGTTCCGTGCGGAAATCGAAACTGCGACACGTTGCACGTCAGCCGATTGCCCAGCCACCGCGAAAATCGTGCAGTCAATTTTTATTTTAATAAACATTCGCATAATGCTTTCCTAAATTAAAGGCACAGCTTAAACACATCATATTATCAGACACGGTGACAGTTTGGTTCTCCCTTGTGCGTGATTTTAAATGTTTGCATATTTTGGTAAACATTTCAAGAATGTGAAATGTATGTTAAAGAATGTATGTTATTCTTTCAGGCAACAAAAAGGGATGGACCAATTTGGTTGATATTTGCTGTGTAAATAGGTGATGTACTAAATTAACACAGGCTGCTTTTTATCAACACTTGTGGAAGCTAGTAATTCTTAAGAAAATAGTTATTAAAACCTTAGGTAATGTTTGTAAACAAGAGAGTTAGCGGAATTACATGTACAGCTTAATGTATTATTGTTGTGAAATCACACATAATTCATTTGATATTTTCATGGGATGTTTCAGTCATTTTCTATTGACACAAAGTGTATAATATATACACATATCAACAACTGTCTGTATACTGATTTTCTGTTTTTTTTTTATTATTTATTAAGCACATTACATTGGACTTATGAAATAAAAATAGTCTAACAAAAGTGTATTCGCAGTTTGTCTGTGGAATCACTATAATTTTACTTATAACTAAACAACTTAAATTAGAAGTGTTCTGTTAAAATATTCTATAACTAATAAAGAGAGCTTTTCCAGTAGATAGGTTTTCAAACATTTTTTTAATTTAACTTTATTGGGCTAATTTTAATGAACTCGGGCAAACTGTTTAAAATTTATGGAATCCTTTTCCTCACAGTCAATGTGTAGGTTGTTATAACAATAAAAGAAATCTAAAAGCTATGCAGAATTTAATTGCCAGCTGTTGTGATATTAATGGGTACTCAGTTACATAGATACAAAATCATTAAATTCTTTTTTTAAAACATCAAATTGTAGAAATCTTGAGTCTTCTTATAGAATTGTAATTTTTTGGTTGTCTACAAAGGTAACTTAGTAGACAACCAAGAGACCAAGAGTAATCTGTTATACCAGCTCAGCCAAGGAACTAACACACTTCCATGAAATATCAGAAAAATTTGCAATGCCATGCAATGCAATTGCCATGTCAAGAAACATTAGCAGAGCAATATAAGTAAATTATCATGAGCAACAGATTGAATCGGAATGGTAAAATATAATTCCCTAATGGTTTACCATTCATTTATTACTAAATAAATTTCAGCATTGATTGACCATTCAATATTACTTTAATAATTGGTTGGCAAGCGATAGGCTAGTTCTTACAATTAACCACAAATAGTTTTGCTTAAATACAGATATCTTAAGATTGAGATATTTAAAAAACTTTTGATTTGGTTATGCAGAGTCCGTCAAAAATAAATATTGATCAAAAGTTTCTGTATGTGTACACTGTATGAATCTAGTGTTGACGAAAAGTCTAAATTGTGGTGTTTTAATATCTTGTTCATATAAAAAGTGAAGTAAAATTTTTCAGGAGCCCATTATTTATAGCTTTTAAGTATGATACAGCTATTTGCATAAAACTTAGCAAAGCAATCACTACCAGAAAATAACGTTATTCAGAAAAGCAAAGCAATTATAACTTGTATTGAAATAGGTAAATGGACATTAGCTTCATGACAAATAATACAAGTTTTTGTGTAGTAATTTACAGTATGGAGAGTATTAATCTAATAGGGTAAGGTAATGAAACAAGATAACGTAGGAATAACTATACAAACACTCAAAACATTTAGAGAGAAAGCTAAGTGAGGCAGTAAAGAAAGTACCCAAACAACTAAAAATATGAGAAACATCAGCCATTTTTATCAAAACATCTCATGTCCTGAACTGCAAGTATCAAAGACATGATTAGAATAGTAAATTGAGGTTATATTAAGTGAATATTTGTATTACTAAACAATAAAATCAGTAAATTATGTATATTCTAACAAACATTACACGGAAAAGTCAGTACCTCTCAAACAAAATGCTTGTAAGAACACGTCGGCGTCAGAAGGAAGGATTTACAGCTATGCTGATGAGCAGATATAATTATCTTCTATCACACTTTGGAACACAACTTAAAATCACAAAATAATAAAGGTTTCACAGAAAACTATAAACGTGACTTTATTTCTCGTCAACTCTCACAGTTAGGTTGATACATAGATAATCTGTGTGCATAGACAGTAGACGCAGAAATTGTCTATGTCTAATTCAACTTGAAATCAAGAAGCAAGATTTTATCTTTTTTAATGTTGTTTTGTGACTGAGGCGAAGGCATCAAGGTTTGGATTACAAAATGTAACATAGATTTTCTGCCGTTCGCTTACGTATTTTGACAAAACTGACTGCTCCTACTAACTGCTATTTTTGTAAGGATTGTGATGGTGTCATTTATTTATCTAGGTGTCATACAAAGATAATTTTAAAAATATATCGCTATTATTTTTAATTACTTAATGTTAGCAAACATTAGAAATTAATCAAAAGCAACATGCGTTATTAGCTACTGGTAAAGCTATCCAAAGAGTTTTTCCTATTTTGTTGTTAGTACCATCTCAAAGAACGTGGAGCTCAGTTGTGCTAAAAGACAATGGTTTGGTCTCAGTTTCGTGAAAGACATCATCTTAATGCACTTTGATTGGCTTAAAGGACTCGTATCCAGGCCATAAACTCCAAAAAAAAAAAAAAAATAATGCACTTTGACGTCACGTCAAAGTCTAAATTGTATTATGTCAATTGTCAAAGTCCCAATTTAAATATTGTTTTTATGCATGTATTAATTTAATTTATTTTATATGTGGAGACTGGCGATGGTGAAAGTTGAAATATTGTATAGGTTCACCTATTAAAGACGTCGCAGAGTAGACAAGTGGAAGTAATTTTAAATACCAGGTACTTGCATTAAATTTGTTAGGTAGTGAAAAATAAGTTGACACAAAATTATCCATGAATAAATAATTAATGAAACTGAATATTAAATTCAACGTGTTCTATTTACAGAAATGAATATAACAAACGGAGGTACTGTACGAAAGTTGTACTACGATGATGAGACAGGAGAAATAATAACCTACGATGTTAATGATGAAACTGGTGAATTGTTACTTGAAAGTAAATCGGCGCCGTTTGAAAACGTAAGACAACCTCTTGATGCACGTGAACCCGAGGCCAAGTACATGAAGTTCCCTCGCGGTTACATGAGCAAGACGAAAAAGTTTCAGTTATTAAAAGCAAACATTATAGCTGGTTCCAATAGAACAAGCCATCGTTTGTTATTGATACCTACTCTGATGATATTTCCTGGGCTCTTTTGCGTGATACTTATGGTACTTGAGGTGTTCTTGCATGTGAGGTGCCACAAGAAAAATAAAAAGCTCAAAGATCCAAATCTCTATTACCGCAGTCCTTTCCATGTAGTCACAAGCACTTTTTGTGGGGTATGTCGGGATTGTGATACAGCTTCTAAGATTGGACAGTTGCAAGATCAGCGCCGTGACCGCTATGATTATTTCAGAGGTATAGCTTTGTAATGAAGTGGCTATAGATAAAAATATAAAGTGGTGTTGGTGTTTTGGGTACACTTTAATATAGTGTGTTTATATAAAATGATTTATTGATCTCTGACTTACTGGTTGACTTTAAGAAATAATGCCCCTTAAAAATTAGGAAAAACATTCTTATTTACAGTAATATTCTTCATTGATTTGATGTTTTAAAGGTTACAGATTAGTCATATTTGATTTTCCTATTTCTGACTAGAATTCCTAATTAGTATTTGAAATTGAACTTATAAAAGTTGACTTACCAAATTGGGTTAGCTATTGTTTTTGCCCTTTGTTATGTATGTACTGTCTGTCTATTTAATTTGCCTCAACAATAATAATAATTAGAATCAAATGTAGACCTAGACTATTGAATGTATTATTACATTTATATTTGAACTTAACATTATTATGTATGATACTGATTAGCTATGACCCATGAGAAATTGATAAGGTGTGAACTCGCTATTAATATGTTTATATTATATTCTTATAGCAAACTCTATAATATTCTAATTTATACTTAATAATATTCATACATAGAAATCGGAACAGATTTTTTTTAAACTGTCATGTTTTTGTCAAATGATGTTGCCTTTGTTATGCATTTCGAAATATAAATATAGGACAAGCATACATTTATATACAAGTTTTAGATATCTTACTGAAAGTGAGAAAATTATGTGATTTAATCTTAAAATGGTGGTATTGGTGTCGGTATTAACTAAGTGTAACTTTTAATAGTAGTGTTAAGTGGTGTTATAATGTGATATTTTGGTAATAAAGGATTATTTTATAAGTACTATCTGTTTTATTTGTTTGTAAGCAAAGCTTATTTTAATCCAAATTATTCTAATTATGGTTATTTGCCAATCGGAATTATGTAAAGAGAAAAATATACAGCACTGATAAGTAGCATAATGTTAATCAAATAATTAACAAAATAATTTTTATGAATGAGGTTTTAAAGGAATTAAATGTAGCTATTTGGTGTTTCTTTCCCTTTCTTTAATTCCCTTTTTTGATACAAAACTACTTTTGCATAATTAAATATCAATAACAATAGGTACTTGGATACTCATTTATGGAACAATAGGTTTACTAGGTACACAAGGTAGTGGTACAACATAACAAATGAGAAATGTGTTAAGATTGATAAGTCTTAACACCTATGTTATAAAAATGTCTCTAGATACGTGAATAAAGAAATACTATTCAGACAATTCATTTCTTTATCTCCTTAAATGAGGATACCCAGTGTAGGTGGCACTATTGCTACACTTCCTGAGGTGATGCCAGGGTGGACAACCAGCATTAGTTACCGCTCCTTCTCATTCCGCGTTTCTTGAAGAGAGTAGAAGCTACTTTTAACGGAGAATAGTCATTTCTTCTCTTTCCCTGGGCTGCACGAGATGGAGTATCAGGCTCTTACTGACTAAAACCAACGGCGTTACTCACTCTGCTCCAGGCCGAGGTCGCAGAACCTTATCAAAGAGCCGACAAGCTACCTAGACAATCGATAGTGATGTAGCGCTTTCTACCGAACCGAATCTTTTAAAGTCCAATTGCCAAACTACTTGCAAAGCGTAGATGAAGTTTATAAAGACCTCTTAAGTAAACTAAGCCTATACTGTTGGCCTTACTTGTTGCAGTCTATTCTGGGGAACCGATGTTAAAACCCTGATACTTGGTTTTAGTACCAAAAAGGATATACACCTACTCTATTCTACACATTCACCTACGCTATTGATAGATAGGTAAGTACTACTACTTAGTTTTTACATGAACATCAAAGAAGAAATCTAACAAAGAATGGTCCACTCAGCCACTGTGCCATCTGTCGCGTCGACACGAAAAAGAAAATGGACACCAACCTCAAACCTGAATTTAAAAATAACGACGCCTGGGTTGTCAAGTGTGTAGCCTATTAACAGAAATACGTGCCTACCTACCTAATTTAGGGAGTTGTGTTTTTCAACTTTAGGCGGGTAGGTAGGTAACCTGTGGGGCTGTGGCTAATGCAGTTGTATTTCACACTTATGTAGACGAACAGAAAAACTCCAATTTTAGAATCTAGATATACGATATCTACGATGAATGAGTAACTATCTATCGGGCCATCGCCTAACTAAGAGTTTAGTTTACGCGCCAAACATCCATGACCTAAATAGGTAGGTAGGTATGTTAGGTAGTTACCAATACCAAGCTACCAACTACCTACAAATTTTTTTGGTTGTTGTTAATGCACTTCATTGAGTTTTGACAATTATTTTAATTATTATTGCGGCTTGTCAGACTGATATAAATCTAGCTAAGTATGTATCTACTATTGGATTGTAAAAGTCACTTCAGAACTTTTGAGGTTATAATTGCTTAGCTGCCTTTAGTCTAGATCTAGCGGTTGTTACGACCTTTAACCCTTTGAACTAGGTCTTTGTTTTAAAATATAAGTCGGGCTATGCGTAGTTAGGGCTTTTCGCAAATAAATTGTAACAAAGGTTAGGTTATTTTGAGGTTGCATGCAATTTATAACAATAGACCTATGCGTGATGAGACCAATCCCATAACGTTATTGCTGAAAGCGGTGATACGGGGAAACATTAATATATTCTCATTTGAAACATATCATGCATAATTAATATAACCTTACCAAATCGTTAATGTGCCAGATTTCTGCCATCTTATTGGATAGAAGCAGACAATTTCAATAAAACGCGATCACCGATGGGGAATTCACTGAGATTCTCTTCAATTCTGGGCTAATTGTTTGGCCGTTATTATTCGAAAGAGGTTATTATCCTTCTAGAACATTCGACGCCGTATATCACTATAGATAGTAGGTACCAATCTACATATCAACAGATTCGATCAATAAATCCCTCATACCACTCCTGTTTTACCTCGTCCCTCACTGTCTAGAGGGGATGCAGTAATAAAGGAGCATATATACGTGTCGGCGACTTGGTATTACAAACAATGGTCGTACGGTGCCGGAACGGTTTTACTTTCAGTAGGTACTCACACTAGACTTCCGCTTTTTGGTTCCGATCAGCATAAGAGTATTGTTAATTTTATATAAATATTATCTAGGTAGGTACTTAAAAAAAACTAATTAGGATTAAATACAAGAAAAACAATACAAACTTAAAAAAACAAAATAAAAGTACTTAATACAACTGAATAACAAGATTGGTGATCATAGTAATCCTAAACTAAAAAAAAAACATTATAGTTTACCTACCTATCATCCATCCTCTCACAATATCTAAGACATTCACGACACAGATCTATCCATCTCATTGCAAACAAATCACAATCTGGCGCTGTCATCAGGAGTGAATTGAGCATGGTGAGAACTCGGACCAGTGTAGAATTTGCATGGGCCACTGTACGTGCCTCAGGTACAGCCAATAAGGCATGTTGACGCGGCCGAAGTTGGTGTGTAAGCAGCCTGGGTACTGCTTAATGGCGTAAGCTGTAGGTAATGTTGTATATGTAAATTTTTGCTGGCTAATAACGAATGCTTAGGAAGAATCTGACAGCTTCATTGATCAAGTGCATAATATGCAACTACCGAGCAAAGATCTTCGAGTAGGTAGACTGACTGGGCAGATAGATGGTTTTAGAATTTTGATTTCTCTTCGTAAAAGTACCGACGGAGTTTGTATTTTTGGACATACCTATATTACAGTTACAGTACCATAGTAAAATGTAGCTTATGTTTCTATTCTAGACTTGTAAGATTAGATATCTAAGTTCTATCTATCTAAATTTAAATTTTTTTTTAAATTTAATTCAGTTCCGGTCAATGGTTTCTAGAGAAAGAGTACCTACCATATAAATATTCATCCATCCACTCATTTATACTCTTATAATTCTTACAAACGTTGGTGCAATAATCCTGCTTGCACATGCTAACACTGGAACATACCTGTAATCGTTTTCAGGGTAGTTTGGTTTTCGCTCACTAGATGGTGCTACTGAGCCTATTCTACAATGTGTGCATAAAATTCGCTGGTAAAAATGTTCGCAACGAGTTATAAGGTACAATTAACTTGTTAACACTTTATTCTATTCATATAGATAATATATAGGTATATATTTTTAACAATATTAATAATTATTCATATTAAAGTATGAAATATATATCATAATATTTTTAAAAGAAATAAAATACGGTGGTACCTAAGTAAAAAGGGCTTAAGCTAACATGGCGGCGATTACATTATAAATTAAATTATACTACGGTTACACTAGTTGGAATACTAATAGGTAGGTATGGGATTTTTTTATTACGACAAGCAAACTTCATTCTCCCAAAGTGCATTATGCACGAAGATAAGGGTGTAATTTTTATAAATTGAATAGCAACTGACTTTGGGGTTCCCATGATTTGGTAGTATCCTAGTATTTACGATAGGTACAGATGGGTGTCAGCTAGGTGAGACCATGACCATTCTTGACTGTTCTTGCTCTGGGGACGCAAGAATGAAGTTCCCCGAGAAACATCATTACGTAATTAGGCAAATTTTAGTTATTACAGTCGGAGCTCACGTAGTTAATTAGGTCTAGGAATATATTATTTATGTAAATCTATAATATAATCTATACTTACATATAATAAATCTGTAGAGAGGTCAATTATGTACATGAAATATATTTTCAAAATAATTAACTACTGTAAATCACCCCCTGTAATTAGTGATCGATACTGATGCCAAAAATGCAGTCTGTAATTTTTTTGTCTGTCCGTCGGTTTGGCTGTCTGTCTGTCTGTCTGTATGTTCCTTGTATAAACAAAAACTACTCGACAGATTTTAACGAAATTTGGTACAATTATTTTTTATATGCCTGGACAGTTTATAAGATACTTTTTATTACAAAGCAGTAAATTAAAATGTTCGAAAAACGGGATTACTCAATTTTTGAAGCGTTCCTGTAAGTTACATAAAAATCATGTACCAAGGAAATATTCTAGTGAACGTTATCTAAAAATATTTCAGACCAGCATATGTCTATCTTTTAGTTTGACTCGTAATAACACGTGTAACTCCTGATAGCTTAGCAGTTCGGTACATATTGATTTTATTTGTTTAAATTCGTTTATCTTACACATCCCTTATTTAGAAAAGTTTACATATTTTTTTATCTAAATTCCTGGACTCATGCTTCGGCACGAATGGGTCCAAATCAAGCGGAGTGATACTACGGCCTCACCGGTGGCGTAGCTAGCATAGGTGGCATCCAAGGAGGATTTTGTAGGCGTCACCCCAAAACTCAATCAAAATTTCTAAGATAAAAAGTAGGTTCGCCTCCTTCTTTACTCGACGACATTCAAGCATTTGCTCCTTCCGGATTCGAAACAGGGACCTACCGAAGCTGCAGCACCAGCGTCAGGCTCAAGGCGAGGGCGCCGTGGATCTTGTTGAATAATAACGAGATGAAAGTTTAAACAATACGTTTATTAACCGGTAAAGTTTTACAGAGAACGAAGACAGAGAACACTAGCGCCACATGTGACAACAATAGGAAACTTTTTTATATGTTCGGAAACTACAATAAATTAACGATAAAGATTTTATGTTTAATATTTCAACATCCTCCCTTAAACTAAAATCAAGCCCATTTTCGAGGCACAGTAGACCAGTTTTGAATATGGTGTCGCTTTAGTTAATGCATCTGCTACCATCAAGTCCGTCTGAATATACTGCACATCAATGGCACCTTGAATAACTTTATCACGTACATAATGGTGTCTGACATCTATATGTTTGGTCCTGGAATGATAGCCGTCGGATTCTGAAAGTTTAATAGAGCTTTGGTTATCGCTATAGATGATCATTGCTTCATCCTTCAGCAGAGGCCAAAACGTTTCTTGAAGCTGCTTTTGCCACATAGGTTCTTGAACACCGGATGATAAAGACATACTCTGCCTCGGTTGTCGACAGAGCAACAGTTGGCTGGCGTTTAGAATTCCAGCTGATCGCTCCTCCCTGAAACAGAAATGCGTACAATGTGCAGGAACGCCGGTCATCTTCTGAGCTTGCCCAGTCTGCGTCACAGTAGCCATGAGTCATGTTTTCATCCGAGTTTCAATTTCATTCAATTCAATTCAACAAATAATGAGAGTTCTGCACTGTATTTTATAATAATCTCAAATAGAAACACGTTGTTAACGGATTTAATTACGAACGGTTTTAATAGCATTAACGGTGTACATTCTACCAAAAACATGTTCTTTGAAAATACCTGACTCGCTATCTACACGTCTGCCAAGGCGTCTACGGTTAAAGACACCTCATTGCTTGTCGTAGGTATAATCAGACGGATTTTCCTCGTATAAAAGGGATTTTGCAAAATTATCAGTTCTGCGGCGAAATCAGCAACCGTTACACAAAAATAATCCTTATAACGTGATTCAGTGTTCACGTGCAACGATGCGATAGCTTATTAGCATATTTCATGTATAAGTTCAGTGTTTCTATACCGATTTCTATGAATAGATAATAATGTAAACTGAGTTTTGTAAACCTAAGAGTAAACAAATATAATCAGAATGCTCTGAACTGCTAAGCAATCAGGAGTTACACGTGATATTTTGAGTCAACCATAAAAGACAAACATATATATAATGTTGTTGGTACTTTGTACATAATTTTATGTAGAACATTCCCATGATACATGATTTTTATGTAACTTTAACCATTAAGACGATACACGCGACGGAAACTAAAAATATGGAGTAACTTCTCCCGTTTTCTCAACGTTTCCCTTCGCTGTTCTGCTAATATTAATTGAAGCGTGATGAAAAGTATCCTATAATCTGCACAGGAAGATGAAGAATAATTATACCAAGTATCGTTAAAATCTGTCGAGTAGTTTTTGTTTCTATAAGGTACAGGTTTAAAAATCTAAAAATTTTATAGATTACATTTTTGGCATCAGTATCGATCAATAATCACCCCCTGAAAGTTATTTTGTAAATATATTTAATGTACAGAATTGACCTCTCTACAGATTTATATTATTTTAAGTATAGATTTTGAAATAAATCTTGGTACGTCCAAACTGACCGCCATCGCTTCCCCCCTGGACTCGTACCGAAGAAGCTGACAGTTAATAATTGATTCCATTCTTTTCCAGAAGGGGAAGTTATGGCTATCGAACTGAAGTCCGGACGACTTGAACGATCACCCTTTTAGGGATCAGGTGAGCTAAAGCCGTCTAAATAATTGTAGTACGATATTGTATAGATTATTGTATCAGTGGCGATTCAAAACTCAACAAATTTATGATTTTTATAGATAGAAAGAGCTACGATGATCACTCGGGCTCGCGTGTCACCTCTGAACGGGTGACACCCGTGGGCTGCCCCTGCCACACCCCACCCCAGCTAGCTACGCCACTGAGCCTCACTGAAAGCTGATGTGAAACAATCATAGTGTTGTGTTTCACCTTATCAGTGAGGTAGGAGGCCCAACCTTTCTAATCCTTAAATCTCTAAAACCCTAATCCCGAAAAGCGCGGTAACCCGTAACTCTTCTGGTACTGCGGTTGTATATGGGCTGTGCCGATTGCTTACCCTCAGGTCTCCTCGTTTGCCGTCCCATCACATAAAAAAACCCTCAATCGATGAAATCACTGGACCAATTATAAAGAAAATTGAGGTTGTATATATCTACCTATCCTAAAAATCATACGGCAACGAGAGCTATGCGTTAACATAGTAGGACTGATGATTTGCAAGAAATTCGGTGAAATACTACATTGATACCCCGTAAAAGGATATATGATATACTTTATCCTGGAAAGCACACATATTTAAAATCAGTTAAACGATTATAAGATAAATATTTTATCCCGGAAATAAACCTACAATTCGTATCTGTGAATTTAATAAGCCTTGAAAAAATATGTGTGAAATGTGTTACTGTTATAGTTTTCATAATGCGAATCCTACGGATATGGGAACTAAAACTCCAAATTGTCTATCTTTTGATTTTTAAGAATTTTTTTAGCCATACAAAAAAGGTGATGTCATTTATAAACGAGGTCGAAGTCGTGCAAAAGCTAGTTGAATTATAAAGTACATTCCAAAATACCACCAAACGAACTGGCCCAAGACGAAACGAATGATCGATCGGCAATCCGGTAAAATTCCCGTATCAAGAATCGCGAGGGTAGTGAGAAGGCTCTCTAACATGTAAACACTAGGTCCGCACTCATAAATAACTAGATTTGTATAGTACACTGCAGTTGCGCAGGACGCACGAAACGAACGACCCTTTCCTCTGCGGCCACTGCAGTGACCGGACGTGTCCCGAGTGCTGCCTGTCTTCTCGTCCTGGTGCTGAACAGCCACACCTGAAGAGATCGTCTACACCCAAGGCGATGCATTTGAGAGGTAAGTAAACGACTACTAACCATTTTCGACATTTTTGTTTTCAGATTTTGCAGCCATCGTTTTGTATTTGGGGTGTTACGTAAGAGAGCTATGCTGACCACGCCCTTTGTCTATTTTCGAGTTGGTCTTCCAGCTTGCTTCTTTACTTTAAATCTAATGCTTTACCAGTGTTTAGACAGAAGATTTGGCCTTCCATCCAGTATTTTAGTCCTTTTTGTTACTTGCATCACACAACAAAGGACTTAGAAGAGGTGGAGGTGTACCGAAGCGGTCTATCTGGAGCTATATTTTATTTCTGTGATTATTTTATTAGTATTCTTTGAAAAAGCTGGCTGCGCGATTGTCTTTTGTTATTTGATGGGCAGTTGAACAAAGGTGACGCCAGTGGATGAGTAGCGGGCAATGGCGGATGGGGTGGGGTGTGTAATGGACGTTCATTGTTTTAATATTACTTGGATAGGGGATCGGATGATTTTAGTGAAGTGGATTATTAGGTTTTGATGGGTGATGGCGACTTAGGACTTAGGGCGGAGAGAGGAGGGGCGACGGGAGGGGGGGGGGGGGGGGTAGAGGCGTGCCGCTACGACCTACAAAGGAAGTTGGTGTGCTATTGCCTGGATTCCCATTGTTACCAATAGTCCTTTATATTAGTATCAGCCATTGTTTGCTAAGAAATTGATAGTGGATTTTGTTACTATGCCAGTACTAGACAACAACGAACAAAGGGAAGGGGGGGAGCAAGGTAGGGAAGCGTATTTATTTTTATACGAGTATACAACATTTTTATATTTACGAATTCTTAAACACTGAGCTAGCGATTTGTGCGATCGATGTGTTTTTGTTTGCGATGTATGCGTCTATGCGATTTTTGCTCTGACGTCTGTAACCAGGCGTCTATGGCTTATGCTACAAGCTATTTCGTAAAGAAACTAACTATTTAGTAAAAAAATACTCAGGAAATAGAAAAGAGTGTTAGACACAGATACTCTAATCTGTCGACTAATTGTAACAGATTTTTTGTGTAATAATTTTGTAAAAATTTAGTAGAAACACTATTCAAAAATTTTGGAACATTTATGACTACCTACAATAGTCTATCAAACTTGACTACGTTTTTAAAATGTATTATGATGGCAACGCACTCGTAACTCCTCCGTTGCGGGTGTCCATGGGCGGCGCTGATTGCTTACCATCACGTAATCCGTCAGCTCGTTTGCCGACCTTATTACATAAAAAAAAATGATAGCGATAAAGTTAAAAATCTATCATAGTATTTTGAAGACTAGACGAAAATGTTGTATGTGTTGCAACAGCACTCTAACACCGCTGCATTGTTGCAGTTACTAGCAATTTCTCCGGGAATAGGGAAATAAGGGAAAACCCAAATGTAGGTAGGTTTATTTTAAAATGAGAATTTCTATTTTAGGAATATCTCATGGAGATGTTTCAATTTTGCCAAGCGAAGAGGAAGCCTTAAAAATAAATGAAAGCTTTTTTTAATTCAATGTTTCCTTATAAAACATTGAGTACTTGGTAGTACTTATGTACTTATGTATCGCTAATACTTTTGATTGGCTTGATTAGTATATTATTGGAAATTGACGATAAAGAAGAGACGCGGAGGGTGGCTTAGGGAAGGAATGAGTAACTAAGCAACGGGGAGAGATATCAGTCGGCGATGTATCGATTTAAATTCTTGTGTTGAGATCTTGTTTGTTATTTTTTTTATTAAATAGTTAGTTATTTTAATATTTACCCGTTTGACATTATAATGTCTTTGCGCCTGCTGCAAATACGATTTGAAGTTTCAAACTAATTAACACTATTTGGAATAGGCACACATAGACGCACTTATTCAAATTAAAATTAGGTGCGGTGTAATTACCTATATACCTAATTTGTATGAGGATACCACCCTGAAACGAATCGTGATTCAATCAATAACACATTTAAGATGTAAAATGATTTTATATAAATAATAGATATGCGCGATTGAAACGCGTAAAAGAACTGTATCTACTCGTCGCTAAAAAACTTCCTACGAATAATCATTAGTTAATACTTAAGTGATCATGATTGGATAAAGTTGTATCAATAAATAGTTAATAGGATATTGTTTTAAATTTCAGGGAAGGAGGCCCCAACGGGGCCGGAGCGCAATCGTCCACCTGAGAGCGCAGTGAAAAACATAAACACCCAAACGGGCAATTTACTGAAAGACCCATGGGGCAGCCTTTGCTACATTCGCCATGTTGTTATAACAGAGAAAACACAAATATCTGCAATCTACCCTTTTCCCAATACCCTACGAGACAGCTTTCCCTACGACTCTGGCTACGATAAAATGGATCTTATGAACTCACAGTGGAATCTCTACTATTACTTCGGTTTGCTACTGATTAAGATATTTGGAGCTTCTTTATGGGCTTCCATATGACATTACATACCCGTTTAAATATATTAGCCCACCATAGTCTTCTGTAGAAGGCCACCATCTTTTACACTCTCGATAGAACGTTTCAACGGTAAAATATATTTAAACGGACCAGGATGAGCACGTTTTTTCTTAAACCATTTTTTTGTACTCTGTACATTGTATATTATACTAATTTTAATAATTTAAAGATTAACATTTTAGTTACTTAAACATTTTTAAGATATTTTCATTTTTTTTAAAGTAACGTATATTTTCCATTCCGCATAATTTGGAAACATTTATTTGAGGATTTCTATTAATTTTTACGTTTCTTTGAATTTTGAATTTCGAAGTTGTTTCTTGGGATTTATTTGTAGTTCAAAATATTGCTGGCTGTAGCGTATATTGTCTGTCTGAGAAAAATACTTTTCAGGTGGTCAATGAACCTGCAGTTTTATGGTTCCTATATCGCAGGGCCCTAGTACGCAGTAAGTGGCCAATGCACTCAGCCGAGGCAAGTTCATATGTACGACCTGACCCAATGGAATGGAAGTACGTGATAGCCTTGGGTGTTAGTTGGTAACTGTGGAAAGGGCCTACGATCGGTCACTATGCTCTGATGGGGTTATTTAACTGTCTATGTCTGACTTACTAACATTATCATCTGACAAGCATTACCAACTTCAGCTTGTCGGTGGTGGTATCAAACCAGTAGAAGTCTGTGGAATATCACTACTGTATGACTTGCGAAAGCAATGCCAGTAAGTCATTCGTATGCCAATAAATAAACATCTGGCCTACTTACGTCACAGTGGCAGGTTCTAGGTATACGGACATGGACGTTGGACCTACAGAAGTGCTTTTGGCCGGGGAATCAATCGGGTTACTCAGAAATCACTTACATTTCTATATAATTTTGTCGTGCAGCGCAACAAAAAATATTTATTTGAAAATGGTACAATTTATACATTATTTTTTACAATTATTATAATTGTCTTATCGATTAATTTTGCTGCACTACAAGTTTTCAATATTTTCATATTACAACTAGAGGAGGCCCTAATTAAATACTTTTTCTATTTATTTACATTATGACTTGAAAAATATATGTTCTAAGTTTGTTTTTATTTCAAGGGCACCCTATAAACACCTGTAACATCTTAAATCGAGTAACTCGGTGGCCCAGGTGCTGTAAGTGTATCTCTGGTTCTGATTCCAAGGATTTAAAGTAATACTCTCTTATGTTTTCTGATTTAATGTTTTACCTTGTTGCTAATTACATGAATTATTGCTAATTAATCGTAAGTTGTAGTTGCGTCGATGTACGCGTTGATCATTAGAATAAAATAGTTACTTCTGGATAATGCGCCACACGCGAGCAGCACACGCCAAAAAAAATAGATTCTTCCTTGAGTTGCTGACGGATGGCCTTTTTGCAGAGGTCAATGCTTCCTTATAATATTAACCGCTATGTCCGTCGCTGTCTTTGACGATTAAATGTAAGCGTATATGTCGTGTCGTTTTATGGATAATTACCTATTGTATCGTGACTAATCATTCTAAATGTCGTGTCATTATTCTAATGTGTAGGTACAGTTTGTGACAAAATTTCTTAGTGCGAGTTTTCTTTACGTTAACGCGATACCGCGTCTTGCCCTCTGACTGATCGGTCAACTTGTAACTGGCCAATCAGAGCGCAACTCTAAAACGTGTCGATCGCCTTAAAGTAAAGCAGCAAACTCGCACGGAGATTCAAAATGTGAGCTGCTCGCAAATAGTGCATTCGAGGAATAACGATTCTATATTTACATTTAGACATTATTTAAAAGTAATCGTTTATTATATCTTAAAGTAAATAGGTGTAAGTACATGTAAGTATCGTGTCTTTTAAAGTGCACATTACGACAAACTCGCGTCCAGACCGTGAGTTCTCGAGTGGCACGTTCTAAGACGGGAAACATTATATTATTGTTCAGCGCTAATTAATTTGTAAGATGGAGCTTAAAATTAAGGGTTTAATTCATAAGATGTAAGTACCGATGTCGTGTTTTTATTCCATCGGAATGTATCGTGTTTTGAATATCAATTGTCATGTCATTCAATGGGTAGAGTTTGTGAGATGCTCATCACCTTTTCATGAGTAGCTTGCAAGTCGCGCTTTCAATGACATGGAGTCTCCTTACACTAGTATTAGCCGATAAGTCATTAAAAAAATGAAGTAATTTAATTAATTATGTATAACCGTATATGTTGTGGCATTTTATGGATATAAGGTATGGCTATATTATTATTGTATCGTGTTCTAGTACGTCAAGTATTTAACATTCAAAGAGCACAGTTTGCATCATACTCGCAACTTGTTCGTGACATTTTAAAGGCATGTGTAATCCATTTTTGTTAATTTTAACCGCTTATATATTCGCCGTCTCTTATAAATGTAACAAATACAATATATCTGGATGTGTAATTTTGTGGAAATAAATTTGTCTTGTGTCGTGTTTGATGTTTTATTTGCTGCACAAAAAATCCTTACCTAAAAAACTTCAAGAGAAACGCTACGTTTAGAATTTTATTTAATAAAAGCACATACAATACTTTGACTCACAACTATTTACATCATAATAAAATATATTTTAAGTACACAACCCTGTACGTCTCCGTCCCACGACAAACGAAAAATAATAAAAAACGACACACGACATTTACCGTGGAACACACCACATCTCCTTACCCGACCATTCTTCACTATTCAGTCTCATACTGATATCAGTCTCGTAAAAAGACCAGAGTCAAATTACACCTTTAAATTGAATTATTTTTTTGTTAGGTGAAATTCATTAAATGGACACCCTATCGTACCTGATGTTCCACAGGAGCGGTCCCAAGACCGATCCCTGCGGAATACCGCGCGAGATCTCTCGCCGGTTCTACATGCCCTGGCGATCGGGATTGATGACAGATCTGTGCGTCAAGTAAGCCTCGACTACATGGCGGAGATAGGCAGACACCCGGTGTACCGGAGTTCTTCCAGAATACAATTTCAGGGCAACGAGTTGAAGGCGTTGAAGATGTCCAGAGATAGCACCACGACGACTCGCCCCCTGGCCAACGCAGTCCTCGTCGTGAGGTCCCTCAGGCGCATGATAGCCCCTTTGCGGAAGCACTCTTCATCCCTCGGTCTCATATCACAAAAAGAATACTTCATATCAATACAAACTTAAATTCTTCAAAAGACTCATCAAATACCATAAATCGCCGTTTTTTACCATTACCTCAATATTACTTAGTGTCATATCGTCCCCACACCACTCCCCTTGCAGAAGGTACACCACCTTCCACTAATTAAGTGTTATAGTAATGAAGAGCTACGCTAACTGCTACGCCGTAGATTGGATGCTACGCCGTAGAAGTTCGTAGGAAATACAAACTTCAATAAATGTGTGCTGCTGTACCTGCCCTTAACAACTGTTTTACTGGTTTACATTGATACCTTCAGTAAGAATTCGACAATTCCAATCGTACTACTAAAGATGGCACTCGAAGGATTAATTTAACACAAAAAGGGCAAACACATGTCTGAGTAACCTTATCGGGAAAATACCCTCTTAAATATTGACGAAAAAGGTCGTCAGAACCCACTACGATGCGTTAATTTCCTATGAAAAACCCCTTGATGGAATCTGCAACGGAGAGAATAATTTTATTGGGCTACCCGACTAATTATCGTCGTCACCCAGTAGCCGGGCCGGATGGTGTGTAATTGACGATTGAGGTGATGCAGATTTTATTTTAATACGTGTTTTACTTTTTATTTTTTCCTGTGTAATGGACGCGTTTACAAACATACATATCACACCCAGATCCGGAACTATAATGTGTGGATCATACAAAGACTTGTTCCGTGTGGGAATCGAAACCGTGACACGTTGCGCGGCAGCCAGTTGCCTGGCCACTTTCCTGAGGTGGAGTGCGGTTCTGATTGTAACCTGTTCATAGTACTACTACTATTCTCGGGACTTTATTCAGTAAACTCATTCAGGCCATTTGACGGAGTTTGACGGCTAGATCAGAATAGCATCATTGGGAGTACGTGCACCTATAGAAAAATATATTCCAACAATATTTTTAAAATGTACTATTATATGCAATTATTATACATATAATGCTCATTCACACCTAATATTATGTATTAGTTCAACAAAAAATACAGTCGTATGTTACAAATTTAGTCGATTAGCTCGGATTGTCATCGAATTATTTATCAATTGTACAAATATAAAGCTGGAGCTGCACTACGATCCGTGTGACACAGATAATTAACAATCCCGCCGGTGAGAGTGCAGCTGGAAACCGTGTTGCGTCAAAGCTTTCAAAAATCAATAACCATAACTTAGGCTGTCATATAGCTCCCGCGTTTTCGTATTTCCCAAACAGAACAAATTAAAGGATTTTTCATGTGAGTAAAATTGTGTTCAAACTTCGTCCTACAACACCATAAGTCTATTGTTTATAATTTTGCAGTGTTTGTTCCTGGATCATGACGCATCCTCATTGCCCTTCAGCAGCGCAGTTTTAAATATATTGAAGTATGTAATAAGGACCTTAGTTAATTAGCTAAGTGGTAAATAAGAATCAACAACGTACGTATTATTTTTCAAATATTTTTTTTACCTTTTTTAACATTGTTAACTTGTAACTTACCCTAACTTTGACATTTCACTTCGACACCATTAATGTATTTAAATCAAAAATATTCGAGTCCATTGGGCAATAATTCGGATTAATATATACCTACTCCTCCCATCATAAATATCTCAAATAATTACTCCATAATAAATTCATGTATAACATAATTCTTGATTTATGAATATTAGCCCATATATTTTTTTATATTTTATTTGGGTTTTTATTTTTCTATGATAAAAACTATTGTCCTATATTTTTATTAGCTCTAGTTATAATTTCCATATACTATTTTGTCTTAACAAAGGCATAATTTTAAGAATGTTGGTTAGCTCGTAACTGGCTAATGTATAAGACCTACTACATATACTTACTACTTTGTATACATAAGCTGTGAGCCTACCTTATCATAACAACTAAAAAATGAATAAATTTTAATTGAGTAAGAAATAAAAAATATTTCGAAATTTAAAAATTAAAGCACTTATACTGGTGTCAAGTGGTGTCACTAGAACGTATTAGACTGCGTACTTGCAAAGTCGCCCTTTCAGTACTTTGAAAATTGAATTATAGATTTTAAAATATACATTTGTTTAATTTATTTCCATTCCCGATTTCAGGCGCTGCTCATCAGCCGCCAAGATGACGTATGATTCTGAGAGTCTCACCTGTCTCTCTCGCTACAACTGGCTCGATTTAGCAGAAATGAATATTCGAAATTCAAGTGACCCGCGCTTAGTACGTAACCAGTCTTACAGTATTGCTGAATACTTAATTTGGCGCCAGTACGCTTACAGGTGTCATTTACGTGGTGATCAGCGGACAGTCCGCCAACCAATCCTGGACTCATCCAACCACCGAAGAAATCATCCTGCCTCTGGGAATTGTCATCCACACAAGTGGTAAACCCCGTCGATCCTGTCAGCGTGTCTTCATCTAAAGCTTGAATGAGATTCTGGCATCCACATCGTAAGCTATCTCGCGCGTCTACCTGTACGTTGATTAAGTTGCGGTTAGTTGATTTTAAGATTTAAAGTAATTCAATAAAGTTTTAATTTCGCTGGCGAAGCTACGCGTTTAGTGAAAGAGCACCGGTTGCGATTGTCACAGATTTAAGATTTAAATTATTTAGCTTTGTCACGATTGCATTCGTGTATTTTTGATAAGTTTTAGTCTTACTAGACTACACTTAGTTTGACTTATCTAGGTATATATAAGACCCAAATGTCAACAAGAATTGTTTACCAGAATCTGCTATTTATGAAATAACAGATATTTAAACACGCAGCGATATTTTCTGTTTCATCTTTCTCATTTTACGTTTGGAAACAAAAGCGAGCGAATTTGAATGAACATTTGGCCAATTCTGTGAATTTCAGTAATAGAAAAATCTCTTTTATTGCTTAAAAAACGGATAGGAATGTGGAGCGGAGTGCTGTTAATACGAATGCCACCTTCAATTTTGCGTGGGAATAAGGATGATGTTGATGGATACCTTTTTAAAGCTATTAAGAAATCTCTTAGGATCTTGTAAGCGTCATCTTCTTCATCTGGTATAACTAACAAACACAACAAAGCACTAGATGCACCTTTTAACTGCAGCGGAGTAGAGAATGGTAACTAACTGTTGGTTATGTGTCGGGAAACTCAGATCTTTAAGTTAATAGATGTACTATAGTCAAAAGTATCCCAGATAAAAAAGAACAAATGTGTTTTATTTGGCATATACACAGTGATCAACAAAACATACTGAATGTATTGTGACATTCCATTTTGATGTTATTCTTATTTAGGGTTTGTCATGGGCTGCCTTGTCTTTAATAACCAACGGAAATAAAACTATGAAACAAAAACAATAACAAAAATGGGGGAGGTAAACTTGCTCCACACACGGCTGCGTTATAAATTGTGTTATTTTTTATATTGATAAGTATTTAGTAATTAATACACATATGAAATGGTTTTCTTACTTCAGAATGTTATACTTTACATGTCGATGAACTTAGTAGGTATATGAATGTAATTTCATAGTACACATATAAATTAAATTGATTTCGCAAAGAACGTACAAAATTATTTAGAAATTATTTTGCATCATTAATTACTGAATTACTGAATATATTATTGTGATGTTGGCAATTTCCTATTACGAGTTTTTATTACTTAAAAGATACACTGTTTAACCGAAAAGATTTTGTGCTTCGATATTTTTAATGAAAAAAAACATTTGAAAATGGAATGATGTTGCCAGCTAAAATTAAATTTGTTTTATCTAAGCACTGTATTGTTTTCCGTAATAATAAATAAAAAAAACATAGCTTTAATAAATATTAAATGTTCATACCTAATGTTCATAATGTGTTATACTACTGTCATGTTTGTTAATAATTAGCAAAAGCATGTTCACCATTGGTCTGCCAAGCAAATTTATTTCTATATTCATTAAAAATCAGATCGGCAATTGAGAAATAAACGGTAGATAACCAAGATTCCTTTTAAGAGAGGCTTTTAAGAACATTTCCAGGAAAATGATAAAGAGAGTTAGCTATTTATTTACAGGAAAAAATGTGTTTACTGTTGACGACCGATGAGAAAAATAAGACTGTGTTTATTTATGTGTAATGTATATTTTTGGTACCTTTTTGTTGAATTGGTATATACTGTTTTTTATAATTCCATATATTTTTTCTTATACTCTTGTGATAGTTTCAATGACAAAATAAAAATGGATGATAATAAAGGATAGATAGAAAGAATAGCGTGATAAAGGACGTGTAATTTTCTTTATTTTTTTTAGTATAATGTGTGATTATTTGGATTAATTTTCAGTGACTAAAGGAAAATTTTATTCATTATTAACAAAAAATGTTACTAAAAATCACACGAGGACATAATGTACCTATCTAATCTATTTTAGCCATAATTGTGAGGCAAGCCTAATAAGGTACCGTAGCCTGGGCCTGGAGCAGGAAAAGAAACTTGATGATTTTCGACGTTCAAAAAGTCACCTATATACACATGTATTAAAGAGGGAAAGATTTAGATTCTAAAAACCACCGTTCCTTCTCCTCCAAGAGGTTATGATACATTTTTGCGCTGGACCCAAAACTCCAGCAGATTCGTTTTAAATTTAAATGTATTTTATAGTACATGCATTTTGTAACAGAAATTAAGGTCTTTAGTCGTAATCAAGTATACATAAATAGATATAATGAGGTAGTTTTATATGATTGTGATTCTTTTAACGGCATGTCAAATATTAATTACTAAACCCTAATTTCTTAGTAAATGAACAAGATAAATTGTAATACTTGCGCTATCCAACTGCAGAAAATTTATTTCAAAGACAATATTATGTCTCAAAGATAAAAAAGAAAAAAAACGATAAACTAAGTACCTATTTAGCAAGATTTTATGTGTTACTATTAGTAGGTAGTACCTATACTCAGACTATTATTATTATTTAAAAAATAGTAATCGTCTGAGTATTTTTATGCAGTAATATTAGTTAATAATAAAGAACCTATATGTTTCAATTTTGGCTTCAGGATATTCTAAGAGCATTATAATATTAATGGAAAAATCGAGTATACAATACTATATAACTACTCACAGCATAGAGGTTTAATTTTTAACATTATAGTGTTCTTTTCTATTTTTAAAAGCATTACTTATCAAGAAATATTTGAAATCTCTCCTTGTTCCAAATAAATTCCATAGAACATTTTCTATTTTTAAAAATCAATATATCCACCGATTTTTTATTTTTTGTAACGTTTTGTTTTCTGATATTGTTTTAGACAGTGAACTATGTATAAATACTGTCTGGTTAGTAATGAGGTTTTGATTGAAGTTGTATTAAACACAAACTGTAGTATGAAATAATTGTTGTCATTAGAGGGCTCCTCTAATGACAACAATTATTTTATACTACAGTCCTTAATCGTGACATAAAAAATGTACCGAATAATTTAACCGACTAGGCGACTGTCAAGTACACGTTGAAAAGCGTTGTCGATGACGTCAGACTAAAACGATCTAGTGGTACGATTATCCATTATAAGAACTATGACCTTAAGACACACATTGCAAAACTCCTCAACCCTGGACTTTGTGTCTAGGTTGGTAAGGTAGTTGTTCGCGCCAGCAGCGTGTAGGGGAAGACAGAGACGAAAGAACTCTCTATCGCTATTCGCAATTCACCCTCAAACATGCTTTTGAGAATACGTGAATGGCGCAGTAAGTTGGCTGTGGGCCAGTGCAAAATAAGAATTACTTCGCAGTCGCAAATTAAAACACCCCTTCATGATGAGAGTAAAGATTTTATTGAGACAGATTTAAACACAGACTTGTATATAGACAATAAATTTTCACTACGTATACACTTGTAAGGTCTACAGTAAATATTAAGTTAACTTTTATCTAAATAATATAAATTATAGCCGGTTGAATAAACCACCAGTTACATTATTAGGTAGGATAATATAATAATAATAATAATTTAAATAGATCATTTCTGAAATTTTTATATCCATCTAAAAATAAACATTTAGAAAATAAATTGAAATTGTAATTTCCCAAGTAAATAGGGTATAAGACAAATTGACCGATATTCTTTTTTTTTCGTTCGCTAAGACAATTCTAGACCTTGAGGAAACCATACATATTATATTTAATATAATAAAAGTCACAAATATGTCTAAAAAATCCACCAAAAAAATAAATCGCCACAGCATCGTTTATAATAAAAATTAATAATATCTTTGGCAATCATTATGAGGGATTGTATTGGTCACTATAGAATTAAAAATATGAAATACAAAATATAAAAAAAATACAAAAAATGTCATTATAAAAAAACATATAAGAAGTCTTAATGCAAAACCTAACAATCAAGTGTTCTCGAACACCTTGCTTTAAAAACAATTCGTTTTGAGGCCATACAAAATAAAAAGTTCGAACAATTTTCTTTTACAACTACGTCTTCGTATTTTTTTAGTCTGAACATCGATTGTAACAGGAGTACAGTATAGGGTTACATAGAATATGTCGGAAAATGTAGTTCTTCAGCCATTGTGGGTTTAGTTCAGAATAGCTCCTCGCACGCTTGCAGCCAGCTGGGATGGCACGGTAATGTGCATCATCGCACGGTCTGTTGAAATAGATTTATTCAATAAATTTGAGTAACTTAACACTTGTAACATTACGTCAAGTTGCAGATGCTTAGGGGTAGATTGTGAGTAATCAATACTGGCCCAAATAAATTCCTACGACTGCGCACAAGGGTGGTGAACTCGCTTGCTTTATCGGAAGAACCCTAACGGTTTCCGACCACGGTGGTGCATTATCACAAACGTGGTTGGAAAGTGATGGTGTACTTATACTACATTCTCTATAAAACGTATATACGTAGCATATTGATATAGTAGTTCCGTAGCTACCGCAAAATATGAAGTAATGTAAGTAATTTATTTATTTATATCTATTATAAAGCTTTGCAATGTTCATCTACTGTTTTATGTCACTGGCATAATACAGGAAAATTTACTATAATGTATTTTGTACGTATTGTATTACATATATGAACCTACGTAGTATTGTTTGTTTATGTACCTATTTGTGTATTTGTGTAGCTATAATTATGTATATAAAAATAACACGAATCAAAAACGTGGGATGGAATCGAATTAGGGATTATTTGTCAATATTATGTGTCAAGGTTAAACTAAAAATATAACATGATACTTAGAAATTATTTCTATAGAATGAAGGAATGTTTTTATCCGTTCGGTAATTTATAAAGGGAATGTGTTTAGGAGATAATAGGTAAATAAGTACGTAGTTGAATAAAAAATATTTTCGAATTTACGATTGGGTCGTTTCTGATTGAATTATAGAATTATAATATAAAATTGAAATTAAACTTTTTGCGTACTGAAATAAATTCTCAATAAAAGGTTCCTATTTTTTAATCTACAGCGCCTAGAAACCGGCTATTGCGATTATTGCGATGTCTTTTTTTATTTTTCAGCCCTTTGCGACTTCCTAAACCATAAGGCAACGAAACGAAATATGTTTTTTAAGTTCAAATTAATCAATAAAGTTCATATTACAATTTTGTTGGCATATATTACAATTATCTCTCAAGTATATGTTCATTATAGTCGTGCTGTACTTAGCGTTACAGGACGACTGTATAAAACAATACATAATATGGTTAAGTTATTATTTGCAATATAAATATATCTCCAAATATCAATATATTTTTCGATAAAGGACAATTAATTTCCTATTATTAACACCCCGTTTGATTAATTACTGATTATATCGATGCCACTTTCGAGATGTTCAAACTTTTTAACCGTACCTATTACTATATTGGTGTATCTACATCAATAACTGCTCAGTTTTGGATGAGGAAATGCTGAAAGGTTTGATAGATCCTACTACTAGACCTAGGTACTCTAACATTTAATTGAGGGCAGTACTAGTATTGGTTGGAATAAAGCGAAGGGGGCGTGAATGTGGAGAGTTTGAGGACTGGAATTGTATCATAGAGTGTTGAAGTTACCATCCCCGATGCGGTGATGCAGACGCTCGTTAGAGAGGCAGCGGGACTCGGCGTTGCGCTCCGGTTCAGCTGGAGCGGCGTCCACCAGCCACACTGGCTGCATCATCGCCGGCTCGTTGTTACGCAGGGGCAGGCGCACGATGATGCGGTTGTTCACCCGACGGTTGTTAGGCTGGTTGCGGCGTGGGCGCGCAATCACCACGGGGATCTCGTTCTGCACAGGCAGGGGCAGTGGAACCTCTCCTGGAAGCATTTTCGCGGATTCTCCTTCTACCTGTAATTTTAACGTTGTTAATGTTAGTTTAGCTTTTACACCAAAAAGGATATATATATTAAGCTGTACCTATCATACATATCCCCACTTCTACTACCACTAGTGATGTCAATGATATCACGAAGCTAAAATTTCAGCACGATGTGCTCTCGCCGCCTATTACAGTGAGACTAATAGCACAACTAAAAATGCGTGGGCGGGACACGCCTCTGCCTATACGCTGGGAGGTTGGCGGGCGAGATATTTTGTTGCTAACTAGCACCAAGGACTAAATACTTCTTTGCAATAGCACTTGGATATAGTATGTTAATGATATTGCCTTCATCAATGATGATTATAAGACAAAGGGTCATACAAAAATGGATTATAATACAAAGGAAAATTACTTTAAATAATATTCACATCAAAATTTTGTTATTATGGGGACTGTATTTAAACAAAACATAATTATTTGTATCTGTTTTTGTTTATTGCGTCGCAATTTTTATTGAACGCAACTAGTTCTAGAACCAGCTTGGGTCTATTTTTAGAAGCAGAGCCAAATATCGAGTGTATCTAAGAAATAACTAGCTGTACTAAAGTACCACTTACCTCGGATGGGTTTTTAATCACTGATTAACACTTCGCGCTATGGTCAGCCGTACCAACACAGATTTTTATTGGGAGACGTAGACCATTAAGAGCGACGGAAATCTGCAATTATTGATCGGTCAGCTCAAACTTAGTGCGCAAGTGCAATTTTACCATCTGTACTCACCAAATAACTATTGGTCTGATTCAAATCAAGTCGAAAAATCGTTCACAATATCATTCGATATTTAAAATTTACTTTTTTAATAATGTTCTTTATTAATACTGATTTAAATAAATTATAAACTTATTTTTAGTAAACCATTCCAATACTTCATGGGAAAGTAAATTAAACCCAAGTGTGCTTTTGATAAAGCTCATGATTAATTGCACTATTTACTGCAAATTATTTTAAATTATTAATCAGTTATATAAACACATTTTAAATAAAAAAATAATATTTGGTGTTATTATTAAATAAAAATAACAACACTTGTTCAAAGTTTTTCGAAGTTCGAAGGCCATTCTCGTCGTTTTTATTGGTGAACTAGTCTTTTCATCCATTTGATTGGTTTTCAAGGAACACAGATAAAATAATTTATGCCAATAATGCTTTTGAGACAGCAACCCTCACGTTTTTCAACGCAATCATATTTAAGTAACACAGCATCCATATAAGTTCCCGATGAACAATGTTCTGTATTCAAAATTAGGCATACATAGTGGCTATTCAGATATTATGAAACAGGCCCTTATTAGTCTTCATTTTAGCAAAATATTCAGGTTGCTAGATAGGGCAATGTATTATTGCATTTATCGTTTCCATAATTCTGTTAAATTACAACCGGTGTTAATTATTAGGGCTGCCCTCTATGAATAAGAACTTTAAACATGTCAGGAAATAAAAGATCACATTCCTATTCTTCATACAAAAGCTTAATTCTCTTTGGTCTAATGTTCCTGATTTGCAAACCCATTAACTTTTACTTTGTATATTTAGGAATTATCCAAAGAATTTATCGCAACTTATCAATTATTAGACACTAACTTTTGAAACGTCAACATACGCCAGTCTGAACGTCAGTGGAGCTAGCAACATTGAGTAGGCAATGCAAGTGCAAGAAAGCACTGCGGCCCCGGACTGGAGTAGGAGAACGGACTATGTGGTTTTTAGTCAGTGAGAGTCTGACACTTACTTCCACTCGCCCCATCCAGGGCAAGAGAAGATATACATTAACTTTTCACAAAAGACTGAATTTACCAACAAGGTCGCTGGTTTAGCAAAAGGTATCTTGTCCCATTAATGTTCAAGTCACATGTACCTGTGTGAGTGATTGGACAAATCTTGACCTCGTGTTACATTAGCACCATCTATCGGACAGAAATATGTCAGCTCCCCTAGCTTCAAGTTAGAAACTTGTTTCCAGCGACATCTACGGCTTCTGTAGGGTAGCACTACCAAGTATCACTTAAAAACTGCCTTCGTACATGTACACACAAAAATGCATTCTAATTTCTGTTTTTCAAATGTTGAAGATAGGTTTTCTTATTTTAAATTACAACTCGTAAGATATTTCTTTAACATGCTTTTGAGTAAGAACCCCTAAAATTAAAGATAGAAAGATACTTCTTCGAGACCGTTTGGCGTATCACGCATTAACTGCCTTTGAGACTGTACTGCTGAAATATTAGCCATAATTTGACATAAATTCGATAGAATCCCCACGCCAAGCAAGTTCAGCAGAAGCACTGCTTAGTGATCTCTGTTAAGTATGCAGTCGCTTATTTGGTGGAGAATCTTAATGCTTAAGCGAAAGGTCAGTGGACTAAATTAATACTATGAAAAAAGACATTTGCTAGTTAGTTCTTGTGTACCTGATACTTACGTTTACACGAATATAAATATGCTTTTACATGGAAAAATAAAACAAACAATGAAAAAGTCTTCACACAATCGTTTATTTTCAAAGAAATTAGATTGGTAGGACAATGTAATCTATATCGCTGTTATTCTCCGAGTGAAGAACAGTTGGGCGGTCGACGTTGAACATGCTGTCATCCGACCCGTACAACATGGGACGCATGACCGGGTCTTGCGTGATGGACCCCAAACGGCTCAGCAAGTTAGTTATCATGCGTTGCTGGATTTCGGCTTCCTCGTCGTCAGCTCTGGCCTGGGTTGCTTTCTTATTCATCTGCCCGGATGTATCGTCATTAGCCTTCTGGTTATCTTTAGCGCCCTTCTGGGCCTTTTCTGCTTGATTGGTAGGCTTTACCTGCACGCCAATCTTTGCACCAGCCTCAGCAGCTGAAATGAGTAATGTTTTTGTTATTAAACAAAATACACGCACTTGTCTGGTTCGGTCAAATATTTTAAGCACGTGCTCATATAGTAAACAACCATTTTTGATGTTATACTGATGTTTATACTGTTTAGAAATGGATATTACTTTGCTTGTTAAAATATTTTTATCAAGTGCCAATAAAATTACCCACTTCCTTAACGGATTTATGATCCGAGCGGATTAGTGGAACCCTTTATTTAAAAAAAATCTTCTTAGAATATAATAAAAACGTACGCGCGTAAAAAATAAACAAAATTCTTCGATAAAAATTAACGTTAATAAACTTAATATAAAAATACTGTCTCTTAATTTTATTAAAATCGGTGTAAGAGTGTAGGTACTATTTGAAAATTAACAGCGAATATCTTAATGATGAATTTTAAATATTTTGAGATTGTTGGGAAATAGGCAAATAAACAATATACATTTATGATTTAAAATCAAAATTGACTATATTTTATTATTTCACAGAATTAACCTAAACTTAAAACACATTACAGTAAAATCGCATAGCGCTTGGCATCCATTAACTTATTAAAAAAACTTTTTTAATATAAAATTTTATTTAGCATGGTATGATCTACTCGTATACTAGCTACTCTCGTGCGGTTTCACCCGCTGCTCGGCTCCATTTAATCGTAGCGTGATGTTTTATAGTCTATACAATGAAACATATAGCACTCAGGAACATTGTAGCTATCTATCAGTGAAAGAATTTTGGCAATCCGAACAGCGGGTCCAAAGATTACCCCCTACATACAAACTTACAAAGTTACAAACTTACAAATTTTACCTCTTTATAATCGCGAAACCGCACGAGAATAGCTAGTAATTAATAAATACATAAGTCAAAGTCAGACTATCGGTCAGTGAATGCCACCTGTTGCTGAATGAGCGTCGCAACGCTCATTAACAAGGGCAAAATAGCTAAGAATTTTGTAAAAAAGGTGAATAAGAATATAATCCTTTGTTGTTAATATAATTTACAAGAATACAAATAGACACTCGAAACTACCCCCTTACTTTATGGACCACACAAACTGTTGTACTCATTCGATTAGCTACATGGCCGCCATGGCCACGTGTGAAGAGGATAATTAACCTTTGAATCTATATATATAAAAATGAATCGCAAAATATGTTGGTAAGCGCATAACTCAATAATGCCTGGACCAATTCTACTGATTATTTTTTTGTTATGTGTGTAATTGTCAGGAGAAGGTTCTCATGAAAGCAAATTTTAGAAAAGTAGAGGGGACAGTTAGTTAGGGATCCTTTCATTATAAGCGAGATGATGAGACCCGTGCGAAGCAGGGGCGAGCTGCTAGTCACAGTATAAATTTTTAGAATGTGCTTTTTGAATCGTGTTTATTCGAGCCACATTAGCAGAACAATAGGTACGCGAACACCTGCGTTCGGTTGGGGCTTGATGAATTAAAAAGAATACCACTTACGTTTTTCCATCTTCGGCTCCATTAAGCGAAGTATTGTGTATGTTTAATAGAACACGTCTTTCGTCTGAGACTACCGTGAGCGTTGTGTTCGGTTGTAAATGGCTATGTACTACGTCTGGCGGTGAAGCAAGGGAGAGTACACACAAGTCATTCAAATCATTCCGTAGTTCACCAAATGACAAAATGGAACTTTTGCTATCTTCTAAAAATATTACCAAGGATTTATGAAAAATAATAAAAATAGTCTCAATTTAAACTTAATTGACAAAGTATAAAGTCGCAAATCCAGCTATGAACCAATTAGTGTAACCATGACTTGAAAATATAGATGGTAGTTATGAATAGAATGAATATTACAGGTAATTTTACAACCATAACTACTGTCTATTATTAGAAGAATAATAGCATGACAGCGTGCCAGAGCACGGTCAGTCAGGAATGCTGTTATACCAGCAGTAAGACCCTCTATGAGGAATGACTAGAGAGACGCCTTGGTGTTCTGACCTGTTCCTGACGCTGGTGCTTTAGGACTTGCGTGGTACGGTAGGTACCTGTTTTGGGGCAGCGTGAGGAAACGCCCGGTGGTCATAATTGTGAGGATCAGTTGGAGGATACGGGATTTCTAGGGCTGAGTACACCGTGCAGGGAAGTGTTCAACGATAACAATTTCTCGCGTCTGATCTTAGACGAGGCTATAGTGCGTAGCGAAAAGCACTGGCAAGCCTCCTCATTTTGCGAACCAGTACAGGTGCCTAGCGTTTCGCGGGCGTCTCTGGGAGCCTATATATAGACTACGGTTTTTAGCGGGGGTTGCGGAACAAGCTTACCGCGACCTCTGGAAATACATTTTGAAATATCCACATGGATCAGCGTGACTTGAAATGACGCGCGTCGCCGGGGCGAGGATCCTCTGCCGTGCCAAATTAGTGCGTGGTGGAATGAACTCCGGCGAGATCTCATGGCTGAAGCAGCGACTGTCGCAATCAAGGGCCGGGCACGCTATTATAGCAGCGGTAAGACCCCTCTTTGAGTAGTGGCTTGAGAGACACCACGGCGTCCTCTCCTTCCGCCTGAAGCAGGTCACGGCAGCTTCGTAGGTTCCTGTTTCGTATCCAGCGGGAGGAAACGCCCGAGTGTCATCATTGTGAAGACCACCTAGAGGATACGGTGGAGCATACGGTAGCGGTATGCCCTGCCTGGGTTGAGCTCCGCCGTGTCCGCAGGGAAGTGATTGTCGGTGGCGACCTCTCGCGCCCGGCCTTTGTCGAGGCCATGGTGTGGAGCGAGAGGAACTGGGACGCCGTCTTCTCCTTCTGTGAAGCAGTGATGCTCGCAAAGGAGGAGGCGGGGCGCGTAAGGGAACTATCCGCGTCGCCGCAGCAGGCGACACTACGGGCGTCGGGGATCAAGGGACGACCTCCGGCCACCGTAAGCGCAGGTCTGCAGACGGCGAGTAAGGGCAACTTGCCGCCCGACCAGAACCAGACTAGAACGTACGGCGCGTAGCGTTCCGCGCGCGCCTCAAAGAGCCAATAGACCATCACAGACGGGGCCCTATAGGGCTGATGTTCAGCCGAGGTTGAGGGGTAAGCACAATGAGGTACTTACCGCGACCTCGGCCCAGAGCAGGAGAAAGAACAGGGGGGTTTTTATTCAGTAAGAGTTTGACACTCTCTTCCGCTCGGCCCTGGGCAGGAGAAATCATTTGATGATTTTCCCCTCACAAAATAAAGCGTGACTTGAAATAATGACACAGATGATACTCAAACTAATTAGTTTTTCTGAGCTCTAATAAAATGTTTGCACATTGGGTTAGTAGGTGATGCCTCATCACAAATATTCTGCGGAAGTTAATAATTTTGGTAAAAATAATTTGTTCATTTTTTGTAAGTTCGAGATAATGCTTGATCTCATCGTCAATCGACAATGATAGATCGATTTGAACAATAGTTTTGTATTGATATAAAACTATTGACAGAGGTTTCTAAGCAGCGGGCTTGGTCTTTTCCTTTTTTCTTCCGTATCAAGATAATTCAAATTATCTATACTAATATAATAAAGAGGTTAAATCATATGTTTTCCAATCATTTTAAGGTTGTATGTAGGGGGTAATCTTTGGAACCGCTGGTCGGATTGTCAAAATTCTTTCACTGATAGATAGCTAAAATGCTTCTGAGTGCTATAGGCTATAAAACATCATCGGATACGATACGATGAAATATAATCATTGACATAGCTATTGATACGAGCTTTACAAATTCAATGAATAATCTTAAAAAGATGTTCTAAGCTATAATTAAAGGTGAAGCGACAAACTTGCGAACCGACTCAACTTGGTACAATCCAACTTCAGATCATTTGAGTAAATCACGGTAGACATTTTTTGATTATTATTCAATTTCATAATATCTTTATGCCTTTGGCTGCCGACAGAAAACTATTGAAGGCAAACCCTTCGCTAACGGGGGTCACCAGTGACCCCCATGGCGTTTTACGTGTTAAACACTAATCTTTGATTATTTTGTAGCAGTTTTCTTGTGGTAAAATCACCCAATGACTTCCTGATGGTTTAGAGGGAGTGTTAGACTCTTACTGGCTAAAAACCACCCCGTTCCATTTCATCATCTCATCTCGTATCGAACCAGCCTGCGGTGTCTCATTGCGCTTGCACGCGCTGTCGCATAACAGTTTCGTTTCTGGCCATCTCACCCAGCATGACTTCAATAGCCCATTAAAGACAAATATGGAGACGGTTGAAGAGACTCATAAAGAATGAGCCATTTCATTATTTATTTCGTTTTTCAAATATTTTCAAAAACTTACTGAATTTCTTGCACAGTGTATGATAACATCGAGCTAGGGTCTTTCACATTTCAGTGCAGTCACAGGTTGAGCAAAAAGTTTTTGGCCTTGTTGCACATGCTGCACATAACACAATACATGTCTTCGAGGACTTTATAGAACGGACGATATGATAAAGGATATTTTTTCTTGTTTTTAAATAAAATAAAATTTTAGAGGAAGAAAAAATATATAAGGTAAATGACCTAGACAAATCCAGTCTGGACTTGGCCTTATAATTCCTAAAACTGCACTTGCGCGTTGGGGTCGCGTCGGAGGGAGTGCGAGCCGAGCGGGGAGAAAAAGACATCAATCAATAAAATTAATCACCCCCCAAGCTAGACATCCGGGGTTCTCGTAGCACGGTTTCTCCCCTCGAATCCCTTTTGTTCGTTATTTCGTCTGCCAAAGTATAAGGGCTATCCCCAACAACCCTTATACTTCGGCAGACGAAATAGTATTTCGATGATTATAGCCTTTCTCAGAATTTATTATAAATAATAAAAAATAAGAAAAACATACATTCGGATATAAAAAATACCGAGTTCACCTTATAGAAACCTCTTCTTATTCTTGTCCATGGCGAATTGGTTGTCTCAATGAATTCATGTTATTTTATCCGGAAAACATAAAATATGATATACACTGATCATTTTAAAATGTACATACATATTATTGCGATTCTATTACAATAATATTTGGAATGTCAATTCTTCATCATCGGCATCATTAATTAATTTGAAATTTTGAATGTCAAATTTTCATCGTAAACTTTATTTTTCTTCGAAACATACAAAAACTGTTAAAGCAAGTAAATATGAATCTTAAAACCTCGCGTCACGCTTTATATACAGACAGCTCCGCAAACAGACGTTGTTTAAAGTATTTTACGTGCGTGTCAACAATGGTCTCGTATAAAAACTGAATAATTATTATATCCGTGTTATTCCTAGATACTAGAGCTTTCTATACGTGAAAGAATTTTGAAAATCGGTGAGTTTTTAGTGAATTACAGTATTATGTGGCCGGTGGTACAACTAAGAATTAGTTGGAAATTATATTTCAAATTTCGGAAATTATATTTAGGTATACACCTAAATATAATTTAGTAGTTGTAGGTATACACCTAAATATAATTTCCAACTAAGAACCAACTTTGTAACCGTATGGTTACAAAGGAAAATGAATAAAAGATTCACTCAAAATCGACCGATTTTCAAAATTCTTTCACGTATAGAAAGCTACAGTATCATGGTATAAGATGGTAACATTCGTTTCTTTATATTTTACGAATGTAGATTGGGAACGCACGCTGAAGATGTGGCGTTGCTACAAATACATAAATACAATTCAAAGGCTCGCGCCTCGCATGTCGTCAACTGACGTTGTATATTTCACGTGCGTTTCCACAATGTTCTCGTATAAAAACAGAATAATTATTATCACCACATTGTTCCTTGAAACTGTAGCTTACTATGCGTGAAAGAATTTTAAAAATCGGTGGGTTTCGAGTGAATAACAATATATGTTGTTTGGTCCTTACGGTCTTACGGTCGTAGTCCAGAACATATTATAACAATACTAAGTACTTCATTATTATAATTATTTATAAATTTACTAGAACATAATTATTTAAGATTATAGATAAATTAATGAATGTAGGTTTAAATATTAATATTCAAACAATACTATACATATACATATTGTACGATCATTTTTCCAAAGCACTATCGTGAAGGAATTTTAAATTTAGAAATTTTAAACGACAACTTTTAGTTTCTATATGGATGGTTTGTTCCCGCACAGTATATGTATAATACAGCTGTATGTACTGTACTAAAAAGAAATAAAATATATCTATAATTTTATAATTGAGATATTTTTTTCGTTCTTCACACTTTCGTTCTTCAAAGTATTTTTTTAAAGAGTACAATTGTTTTTCTCAATTGACACAGAACTGATAAATAGTAGTAAGCTTGTCCGGATAGATTTACTCAAAATCTACCGATTTTCAAAATTCTTTCTTGTACAGTAAGCTACAGTATCACAGAATAACATGGTGACAGTATAAGTTGTGTATTACTGCAGGAATATAATAATACCGCACGCAGTCAGTGCTATAGCTGTAGGTACCGCGCCGGGACACACAACTCATATTGTTGTTCATTCAAACATCACCGATTTTCTAAATTCTTTCACGTACGGAAAGCTACAGTATCAAGGAATAAGATGGTAACATTAGTTTCTTTACATTTTCCGAATTTAGATTGGAAACGCACGCGGAAGATGTAGTGTTGCTACAAATACACTAGATCCAAATTCAAAGGCTTGCGCCTCGCATGTTGTCAACTGACATTGTATATTTCACGTGCGTGTCCACAATGTTCTCGTATGCAAACTGAATAATTATTATAGCCATGCCACTCTCTGATACTGTAGCTTTCTATACGAGAAAGAATTTTGAAAATCGGTGAGTTTTGAGTGAATTAAAATATGTGTTGTATGGTACCGCGCGGTTCTTACATACACTCGTAGTTCAGAACGTATTATTAAAATACTAGCAGTATTATAACTTATTATTAGATATGCTACAGATTGTGTCTACATCGTTCTTTAATTACTTATTATTTTTTAAATTACTAGTATATTAAGTTAAGAAATAAATTTATGAATGAAGTTACAATTATTTATATACCTAATAACAATATTCTATGCTATAATTTAGCCAAAACACAGTCGTGAAGGAAATTTAAAAAACGGTAACTGTAACACGCAGTCAGTACTACAGCTGTATGTACCGCGCGGGGTCACACAACTTATGTATATCATTCACTCAAAACTCACCGATTTTCAAAATTCTTTCACGTACAGAAATCTACAGTATCAGAGATTAACATAGTCACATTCGTTTCATTTATCTCCTTTCATTTCATTTATTTGCATTCCTCATTGTGTTTTATCTATACAATCTAAAGTAATATTATAAAGAGGTAAAATTTGTAAGTTTGCATGTAGGGGGTAATATTTGGAACCACTGGTCGGATTGCCAAAATTCTTTCACTGATGAACTGAATGGCTGACTGGCTACAATGTTCCTGAGTGCTATAGGCTATAAAAAATCACGCTACGATCAAATGGAGCCGAGCAGCAGGTGAAACCGCGCGAGAATACCTAGTAGATGATAGATATACAAATGGACCCTAACAACACCTGACCCTGCAGCAGTATAGTTTAAAAATAATAATAGCAATGAAAAGAAAAAAAAGTACACTGTAAGAAACATTTATATTACAATAAAGAAAATTAGAGAAAACATTTACAACAAAATTAGATACATATTATTTTTTTTGTTTTAATATTATATTTATAATTTACTTAGGTAAATCAGTTTTTATTGTGTAGGTTATTTATGACATACATTTGTAGTAGGTACTGACTGCGTGCGTTATTTTTATATTCCGGTAGTACTACAGAACTAATACAAGAAAGAAAGACGATGTCAATTCATCATTATCATCATTAATGATTTTGAATATCCTCTCATGTTGCATCATTAACTCTACAAGAAAATACGAATTTTAAACCCCGCATTGTATACCTACAGACAGCTTCGCCAAGACGTTGTATATTTCACGTGCGTTTCCACAATGTTGTCGTAGAAAAATAGAATAATTATGATAGCAATGTTGTTCTTTGATAC